GGAGGGGGGAGGGGGGAGGGGTGAGACAGAATGGACACATCAGAGATTTTTTGAAATTTTAATAATTCAGGGAAAATTTGATAAATTGATATGAGTCTGGGAGAAAAAATTTATATCATCAATAATTGTGTGAGGCTTTTAAAGAGAGAAAGTGTTCATTTTGTACTCTTGCCTACAATTTTTATTGTTGAATGCTCGGTTGAGGCCTCGCGGCGTTATTTGGCTGATGTCTCGCCTTGTATATTCATCCCTGATGCAATAAATGCTTGATACTTGATCGATTTCTCTGTTTATTCCAATTGGTCGGGTTCTTAATTATTTCAGGCGTGTGTCTGTAATGATTTTCCTGAAAATTTCATAGACCCTGCAAATTCCTAATTACAACACCAGAAAATCCACGAAAAAGGGCTTTATCAAATATATATTGAGGATGATATATATAACTGGTGGAATTTTTTTTTTCATTATTTTGCGTCATCCAGTAATGGTACATTCGCCCTGGGGAACTCCTCGGGCACTGGCCAGCAGGTACGAAAAACACGTTGAAGACAATGATCGATAGTAGGTGTGGCCTGAGGTATCCTCTCCCGAGTATTCGTCGTGGACTCCACCCACCTGTCAGGCAATCCACCTCGGCCTCAGGATCTCCGTGTGCGCAACCCTCTAATCATCTTCCTCCAATTCCACAACTCCATTGTTCCCAAAAAGTCGATACGCCATTGACTTTTCGAGGGAGTCCAGACCATTTTTCGAGTGCGTCATCATGCATCGGAGAAAATCTCGAGGAAGTTTTCGATTTATCTCGACGTAATTGACAAAAAAAATTCATTTTTACTGATAAATGAAACAAATTTTTATGAAATAAAATAATATAATCATGACAAATTTATTTACAGAGAAAAAAAAAATCCTGAATTTCCCAGAATTTTCGTGATCTCCAGGTGGATTTTTCAAAAAATCCGAAATTTGACCGGAAAATTGTCGAAATAAAATGAAAGGAAGAGAGGAGAGTGCCATCATCCGTGATTAATGCAGAATAGCGTGCCCCGAGTTGAATTCGGACTTTGGATGGGCCATCGGATTGATAAAGATTAAAGGTAAAAGGGGAAAAACGAGGGGAGGAATGGCACAACCCTAGGAAACATGAGGGATGTGTTTTGGTGGAGTTAGGCGACAGAAGTCATCCAGCGAAACGAAACGACCGAGAGAGGGGAATGATGTCATACAGGGGCTCCCTATCTTTCTTATTCCTATATGCCACCGTAAATATATACATTGGGGAGAGCAACGGGATTTGATGAATCGTGCGGCCAGCCCATAGACGTAGAAACTATCATCACCAAAAATTCAATGATTCGAATTTTCTCATCCTCAGGAAGAGAAAAAAAAAATGTCTTATCACAAGTCTCACCCCAAATTCAATTCTCCTCTTACGATTTGTTGTCGGCGATTATTTTCCAGAGGGAGGTACGAGGGAAAATTGATGCTGGGGATGTAGATGTATTCGACGCCAATGGATATGGACCGTGGGTGAGTCATCCACACTATCCAACTTCCCCATGTACGAGATTTTGTGTGAGTAAGCACGATAGTTTCCCCCGTGGCACAATGGAGAATAGTTAAATGTGGTAAAGGTAAGTCTGCGGCAATGAGGGTTGACACGTGGCTATTTTTTTCCTCACTCCAGTGCCTTTATACCAGGAAAAATTTCGCTCATTTGTGAAACTCAAATGTATCATGACTCGCTTCGTGCAATCAATCATCAAAAAAAAATAAATTAAATAGCTTTCCCGAAAAATCATAGACCCAGGAAGATTTTTCGGGTGCTTTTTTATTCCCTCATATCCTCTTCTCATCTCCTCACGCCCTTATGCCCTTATGCCCCCACCGACAGTGCCTGAAAAAATCATCCAAGGGATATATTTATTTTTTCAATATAAAAAAAAAACAAGAACGAATGAATGGGTTCCAATCTGTTCCATGGGCTTTGTTGAAAAGGTACATATACGGTGGCTCGTGGCGCGTGTGCAAATCCACCTCTGGTCATATCTTTCTTTTCATCCCCCCGCTGGTCCCCTCAGGGGTGCGTTCATCCCCCCGGTGGCTGCACACGCCTCACACCTGAGTACAATAGCCATACCCTCTCTTCCCCCAAGTTTCATTTCGACATTTCTCTCTATTTCGTCCCCTGGAAAATCCCGGCGTTTAAATATCTCATTTCGTATGGGGGAGGCTAAAATGCCTGATACATTTTATTGTCAACCCGCTGTGGTGGCCAGCACTTCTCCATCCCTTGAATTAATTCCAATTATATTGATAAATAATGACGATCGAGTGAGAACCCATTTATTTCAATTCCAACGAAAAATATATGTATAGTATAGGTGGTATTATTGATTGAATGTGCGGGCATCATCACGTGGACACTCAAGACCAATTGGTTGACCCGCAGTTACCAAAAAAATTCATCCCACTCACCGAAAAATTGATCACCTCTTAGGTGAATAGTCCGCTATAAAAAGAACGATTATTCTTCCTCCCAACAATGCGGGTTTTGAGAACGGTGGGAATTCCAGTTAATTTCCGAGGTAATTGTTTAATTGAGATGGAGAGGGCACACCGGTGGTGCCAGAGAGCGTTTAAATTGGTGTAAATGTCCGTCGTACAGACGCAACTGACGCCTATTTTTCTGCTCGTTTTAATTCTACGAGCAAACACTCAATATTCTCTGATAATTCATATTTCGTATTCCAGCCAAGAGTGTCCCGGAGGGAAGAAAAAGCCAGGAATGATAATTAATGATTTTTCTTATAAGATCCCATCGAATGATCCAGTTCTGATTAATTTCTTAATTTCCGGAGAGAACCAGAATTTTGATAAAATCTCTTCTCCCCACATCTCTTCTCCTGGAAAACCCCTGAGTTATGATATGTACCAGACAATTAACTCAATGAGATGAATACCGGGAAAAATCCATCCTCCTTTATCGAATTTAATAAATTCCCCAGAGTGCCCGAGCACGTAGATATATTATATCATATCGCAAGTGAATTTATCACCTGAAAAGCCAAAATCGTCCCCAATATTCCAAATGTTTTGTATCCCCTTGTCCTCACGTCGCCCATCAGAGTACGTGATGCAGTGAGAGGAATGAATTTAGGGTCCGGATCGTCTCAGAAGCTTCGGCATGTCGTATTTGCTGAATCAATAACGAATTTATCCGATTAAATTCCTCGCGGGTGGAAACTGACCGGATTTTTTTTTTATACAGACCAAATATATCAGAGAATAATTCGCTAATGGTGCAAATGAAGAAATAATGACGGCAAATTTATCAGCTCAATTGATGCCAATAATGGGAGTAATGGTAAAAAAATATCTCCCCCATGTGGTTGTAATTGGAGTGGAATGAATTTATCGGAGGCAGGATCACCTGGTGCAAAAATGCCAATCTCTTTGGTCCTCATGACTCCCCTAGTTTGGCATTCAGGATTGGTAGGTTGGTAGGTGCGATAGGCAATAAGATATAGAAGAAGGAGTCGTAGTACAGAGGGTTGCTCTCGGTGTTGTTTCCGCCTGCATGACCATCCATTGGAGTTATTGCATTACTGGCTTAGCTTTGGCGCTATTCCCCTCTTGCTCGTGATTGCCGACCATGTGGCCACGCGCCCGTCAACCCTCCCCCTACCTTTCTCCCCTGCTTTCTCTCTTTTTCATTCAACCCCCTTTCGCCAACTCCATAACCAATATCCAATATTCATCTCCCGAATTTTCGCCGTTGTATCACCATTTTTTTTTTCAGAGAAATGAGGAAACGGAACATGAAAAATTTCAGTCTCATCTCATGCCGTGAATAATCCATATTTTTGATTGATTTTTCATTCTCATTAAGTCAATAATTTAAATTTTTAATTTTCAATAGAAAGTTGCAGTGTCCATCGGATAACGATTCCCAGTAGATCTCCTCCCGCGAATGGCTGAATGAGAAACAGAAATAAGCGGTAGTTTTTACAATCCCCATGAGACACTCGTTCACATATTGTTTGTTCTGTGCCTTGGAAAAAAAAAAGATAGGAAGGTGCACATGTAGCAGGAGAGTCTCTCTTGGGCCGTAGCCCCCGTTAAATCTGGCCCGCATGCAGGGGAAAAAAGGGAGAGGAGAGTAATGGAGAGAATACGAGCGGTTGTATTGAGAGGTGTACACAGACCCCGGGCTGTTGCCCATATGGTGACCATGGGGCCTCGGGTTATGTGCACATAGGTAAAGGCGTCTCTCGTTTCTCTGAACAATTTTAACCCTCACGTGTACTCCACCTCCCCCTTACTCTCCCCTATTTTTCTCCCATCGACACGTTTCCATTTTTTTTTTCTTTTACTCCCTGGGGCTTTTTGTACCTTGAGAGTCGTCATCTCGATGGATCAATCAATTCAATAAATCCAGCTGTGGTCCAGTCGTTATTAATTGTCCAATTGTAATTATTTTTTCAGAATACTCTATTTTAACTCTGTAAACAGTGAGGGACTCTGACCTGTGTCAACTGCTACTGGACAGATTAAATGGAGGATTTTCCATTGAGGTATAGCCATTGGATAGTTTGTGAGACAAATATTTGTTCTCCCATCTCTCTCTCCTGGTGTGTCGTCCACGTCTATTACCAAAAGGCGTTTGTCGAGTGGCTATGGCGTACACAGCTCGATCATTGCTCGCACTTTGCCCTCAGATTTACCCAGCATCATACTCCAAAGCTGTATCACGTTTCAACGTCTAGTCATCCCCAACGGATGTGTATACAAGTGGAGGTATCCATGCCCAGAGTCAAATATCTACTCCAACTTTTATCAAATTTAAATTATCTCAGCCCTGACATTGATCAATCATTCGAATATTTAATTATTAAAATTATCAGAAAATGGGTAGATCGAGGGTGATGAATTCGAATGAGAAAATAATCTCGGATTGGAGCTCAACATCTCGACTTGATTTTATCATCAGCTCCGTTGAATTATTTTTCAAGCAAAATCTATGTTCTCTGTTCATCTCGTAAAACCCTGAGAAGTGAGTCGAGACTGAAAATTTCGAGTGGTCACCAGTCATCTCGTTTTATTTTCCCCTGATACCCCGGGTTTATTACCCGAGTGAAGTACAAGTGGGAGAGATAAAGACTCGAGATGAGAAAATGAAAAGAAAAAAAGGAGTTATGTATGAGGGAGTCTCGCTCCCAAGCGTTCAACGTGAGTAAAAAAAAAAACGTGGGCATGAAGTTTTTGTGGAATTCCTCCGCCATAGGTGCTGAAAACACGGATCTCAAAACCGAGACTTGGGGAGAAATTGAGGGGGAAGAGAGAATGGTTGGAAAAACATGAGTACCGAGATGCTGAGGAACGTCAGGGGTGAGGAGTAACACAAGTGGCGCACACATGGTGCACAGTTGTTCGAGAGGTCAGGTTTTTGTCCCTGAGTTTTGAATTTTACGGGTAACACCGTAAATTTTTGACTAACATTTAACTAAATCCGTAGGTGTCCCGAGAATTTTTTTTTCTGGTTCACATGGCGCGTGAGATTAAACAGCTACTCACAAAATTTTCTCAGAAGAACTCTCGAAGGCGTGATCCCACCTCAAAAAACACCATCTCTTCATGCGGTAATAAACGTTGAATTATCTGCGCAATGATTGAGTACACGAAGAAATGTCATGAGACTTTTTTCTTGGAAATTTCGTTAGCAGGAAAAAACGTCGAATACAGAATATCCTAAAACCAATAATTACCAAGATTAATTGAAAAATCCAATGATCAATTTTCAAATAAACAATTTCAGATGGTATTGTTGGCGTTATCAAGAATTTGAAGAGAATTCCTGGGGTGGGAAAGACCGACAATTTCATAAACACGTGCATGAAAAAGATATAAAAGAGTACGTGTAAAAAATGTATACCGGTGTGTGTAAAAGTTATAAGGGAACAGAGGACATAAAGAAACACAGTTGCGAATCACGCCGTGGCGGCGCCTAATGGGCGGGCAACAAGGAAGACGAGAGGAGAGAAGCCGAGGAGAATTTCACGAGATATCGTAAAGGGGAAACACGGGGGGAATCCATGAGAGATCCTCGTTGCAGCAACTACTCCCACTACTTCGATAACATTGCCCTCTTGCTCCAACAATTCCTCTCTTTCAATATAAAACGCCCTGACACTCGGAGATCTCCGTGGCCCTTCGAGACGATAGCCGCGTCATCGGCTGGACCCAACTGTTGGAAATTAAACACCAGGGACGGCCATGCTACCACCTCTCCAGGATTTCACCATTTTTTTCCCATTTTTTCATTATTTTTTCATTATTTTTTCATCATTTTTTCATCAATTCTTCATTCCTTATAAATTACATCTTGTCAAATATCCAATTATCTCGGTAATGAATGGCTTTTCAAGCAAATAGTCCTCAACATTTTTTCTCACAAATTTCATCACCTACAAAAAAGGTCAACTGCATAATTTCGTATAATCCCTCGTTTTGGGAATAATCCGCGGTATACGTGAGAAGCAATGAAACCCCAAAAATCGATAGCACCGCGTTAAAATCAAATCCGCGAGTATCGAATTCTCTCGTTTCGTTGGGTATAAATTTCGAACAAAGAGATGTAGAACGAAAACATGAACTCTTCATTCCACTATCAATGATAATTGATGAAACGACTTCCAACAATTGAGGCGCGAGCGCGGATGATTGGAATGCGCGGGAATTCGTCGAGACAAAACGGCGAGAAGTAAAAAATAATAAATACATGAAGAATTTTTTATTTTACCTTGAGCATTGTTTCGAACGGTCTCGGTATTATACTCTGATTTTCATTCACTAATTCAGAGGCAGCTGCATACTAATAATAGTATCCGACGTCGACGGTCTTCACCTTTTCCCCTTCGTTCGGAGTCTGTCTCTTTTATTCCCAATAGCCAATGAGCTGCTATGATTTACCTTGGAAAATAACCGACACCTAGAAATATCTCTCACCATGTACCTAATTATTTTCAATTAATCATAATTACAATGCTGATATCCCCGCATTTCTCTGGACATCGTCAGTTCCCATAAGATTGAGAAGACCAATTGAAACAATGAGCGTCAACGCGTTATACTGTACCATTCGTTTTGAAAGGCCCGCGGATGCCTTTGATCAATCACTCCTAGACTCAGTGCATCATCAGCGGCAAATCCCCACCCAAAATCATCTAATTTCCCCCCCATTAAATAAAATATATGAATAAGACCGTTGAGTCGTCGATAAAACGAGAGAGGAGTGAAAATCTGAATAGAATGACTCGTCAAAGCCCAACTATTTTATCATCACTTTTAAACCCGAAGAAACAAAGATACCGATTTGATGTTTCCGGTAACAAATGCCATTGAGATAACCACACATGCATCGGACACCCCCCGAGTACTCCAGGGTATCTCGTTACACTCGGTCTTGGAATCGAAATAATCCCAGAGCAAAAAAAAAAACAAAAAAGAAGAAAAATTGAGAAACTTTATCCCATACATTTAAAAACATGTAACGCGATAACTCCCCGGGGCTCTTAATTTGAATTATGATGGTCTGACATATCGTGATTAATACCAGAGATAAGGAGTAATCAACAGACTCCGTACTTCTGGAAGAATTATCTTAATTACAAAAACTTAAAGGGCTAAATTCAGGAGCTCAAATCGCCATCCCCCCACAAACTAAAATAAATAAATCCACACTATACATTAATTATTATAATTTTGCAAGGAGGTTACCCGACACTAGCGCAGAGGTTCCCGCTGATGATCCATCCCTGGAGCTTCGGCGTCGCTGAAGACGCAGGTAGGGGAGTCTCTCCTACGTCCCCCACGTCCCCCACGTCCCCGACGACCCCCACGTTCCATGTACACTCCCCACCTCCACCCACACGACAATTCGTCGGTCCACATCTCCCCTACCCCAGGAAGATGTACAAATCCAGGTGGAGGGGGCCCCTGAAAAACACCGGGGGCGGTGGCTGTCCGCCATCACCGTCCACCACACTCTCATCGCATCGCCCAATCCGCCTTCTCCATACCTATCTCATTTCTCTATCTAACTCTCCCCCTCTCGATCCCCCCTTACCCCCTCGCCATTCCCATGTGTTAGTTAGAGAAGAGAACCTCCGCCGCAGTAACCGGTGCTTCTCCACTCTATACTCACCTCTCTCCTAGATGGTTTAGTAAAACTGCACACAATTCGTCCGCTTTTTTCTCCCAAATCACAACAACTCCTCACCGTCCTCACAGCCATGTCCCATCAACCGCCAAAATAACGCACTCAATTAATCGGCATTATATTTTTTGTCATTCCCCTCTCCCCGTCCCACCCCACCAACCCCCCCCCAGCACATCCCCGTATCCGTTTTAGTTTTTTTTATTTCCGTTTAATATAATTTTTAAATCCCGGTGTGGATGGAAATAATAAGTGAACCAGTGACTGGAGTGATAGCCTCGTTTTCAATAGAATTGTTGGAGCTGTTGGAATTGTTGGAATCAGATGAAGTGTTCGTGGAATAGTGGATTATCCAGTGGAATTCTGTGGTGATGCCTCTTGCGGATACGAGACACTGAGGATTTTACGGGAGATGAGGGCTTGATCGGTGTGGGGAAGTTAATTGGCACGGGCCGACGACCGGAGTGTTGTTTTGTCCCTTTTTTTTTATTTTTTTATTTTTTTTTTGTTTCCTTCAGTTGTTTTTTTTCGCCCGTGGGTGTGCAATTGTTGGCAGTCTGTGTTGTTTTCTTTTTTTTTTCGTTTTTTTTTTGTTGGGGGGGGGGTTTTGGAGACGGACATTTTTATCGGACGGCTCCACCTTCTGCCTTACCGACGAGATTACGCCCGAGATGATAAAGATTTTTGGTGAGACTGTTGGGATATTCTGGAGGGGCCACGAGGGGATTTGATGGTTGAGAGGGCGAAGGTAGCCGGCAGGACAGTGGTCAGCATTTCCGCCGGGGTCACGTCATTCGGGGAAAAAGAGGGCGGTGGAGTTGCGACGATAACGAGGGATAGGATGGTTGAGGGCCACCGGGAGGACTGAACGCTTTTTTCGACGTTTTTTTTACTTTCATTTTGGGGCTTGAGGAGAGGATCAACATCCCGGACCTCGCGGGAGTTAATATGAGCATGACTCTTGTGCGAAATACGTTCAAAGGTTTGTCAATTGTCAATTTTTTTTATTCAGGTTTTAATTAGGTTTTAATTAGGTTTTGATGAGGTTTTATTGAGGTTTTACTGATGTTTTATTATGGTTTTGTTGTTTTAAAGTTTCAAGGGCCGAATAATTCCATTTTGAAAATGAAGAGGAGACGTTTGAATTTCATTTCCTCGATGATTACCAATTACTCAGCAATTACCAGACTTGTTTTCATCCATCAGATATCCACGTGCGAAAGGTCTCGCGTGTGATCACGGATTCATCATATGGAGCATGATATATCTAGTTGATAACGAAAGTCATTACAAGCTCAGAGCTATTGGAAAAATGACCTTTCCATTTTGGAAAGTCAGCTGAGCAAAATCCAATGTTTTCCTCAATGAAAATCATTGCCACATTATCGATCGTCCGTAGTAATTAGTTCAAGTGTTTTACGTATTTTTCCATTGAGGGCAAGGAAAAGTCAATATTCTTCGAAGCAATAAAATTGGTAATTCGATTTAGATGACGTATTAATGATCTCGGTGGATTAATTGGGTAGATTCAGACGTATCTCGCTCCAGTTACTGAACATCCTCTCGATTTAGTCACCTTCTGCACACATACGTAATTGAAGATAGACTAATGAGAATGGCAGGCAAAGGTCGGGCTCCGGGTCAGATAAGAAATATCAAACGATTACGTTTTCGAGTTTAAAACAACACCTATTGAAAATAAAACACTGAGACTTGGTGGAACAATAGGCGGATTTATTTTGGCCTCGATTCGTCACGTCGGGGCTATCAACCAGAGGCTTTTCATCATTTTCCTCTGATCCTTTGTTCACAAACGATAATTGTGACTCCTCTGGGTACACACGATGATGCACCGGGTCGAAGTTTATTTTGTCATACCCTACCTGGAGATTAGCAGTGAAACTAACGATGCAAACAGCGATGACTAAATTCAAGGGACAGGGTTGGAGAACAATGGGAAGAGATGTGACATCAACACCTGTGAATATTTTTTTATATTATTTTATTTCTCGGGTTCACTTCAGCCTTTTTTCGGAGGGGTTTCGGGTTTCCGTCGACGACTCAAACGTTATTTGATTCCTGTTTAACTTGAGGGTTACAATGTTGTGTTTCTGGGGCTTGAGGCCATTTATCCCGAGGTTTTTACAGGGCCTTGACCCAGAAAAATATTGAAAAACCTATGCTATTATTACACATCTCCTAATTGCGCACTTGAAATTATTGTTAACGGAGTAATGAGTGGTAATCATTACACGGACGAACACACAGTTTTTATTCAATTGTTTATATTAATTTCAATTGAGACAGACGTGAAGATGATTAGCTGGATACGCAATTAAATGTTTATTCGCTCGCTGAGTGATTTGATGTTTTCATGATTTTTAATTGTGAGTTTTAGATTCATCGGATTATTCATTATTTTTTTTGCATTTCTCACCAACAAAACGACTGTTGATTAATTTTCATATCACTAATTTCTGAATAACGGGAAAATCAAGTGCAACAGTGGATGCCAATCATCTCAAATGATAAATAAATTTCATTGCAAAACGGCGAACGCAACGTGACGTCAGTGCCGTCTTGGGCTGTCGGATTTCGCGGTATTTACAATAGTCGTTATCGCGTGCGGTAACTCCCGGGGAAAAACTAAGTCGTGTATTTTTTTCGTTATTATTTTATCCATATCGAAAATAACACAGCAATCCGATAAACGAGGCAAATTAAAATGGAAAAATATACCGAGTGTTGTTCGCCACTCGATCGAAACATATCACTGCGTCATTGGAATTTTTAATTGAATTTTATTTGGCATCTCGGGGGATATGATTTTTCTACGTATTACGTCCCTCATTCATCTGATTGGAGGGAACGTATCTCTCGCGTTTTAATGGCCGCCGCGCCCCCGCGCGATGCTCTCCCAACGTCGCGCCAAGGCTCAACGACCTCAAACCATTCGTTCCTCCCTAGTTTTAAATCGTTTTCTCTCATTTGCCCGCGTCTCGATGACGTTATTAGGCTTCTTACCCACCAAGTATCAAACGCCATCTTGATCAGGTTCCTGGACCACGTGGCGTCCCTAAAAAAACAACAATGTGGCAATTAAACCGATTTTTATCTGTCCTGGCCGTTCATTTTTTTTTTTTTGGTGGGGAATCATTACCGCGAACGCGTCATTTTGAATTTGAAAGAAACAACAATTTAATCTTGCCGAGATAAAGCGCATGAATTTTGGCACGTGAACAAGCATATGATTCAGCCCGACACCCTGGGGTGCCGTCCACAGGGGAAATACTCTTGAATCACCTCTCCCATTGTTCGTGAACATTCCCTGAATAGCTTATCACGACAGCGAGACAAATGTCGTTGATAATCTTGGAGGATGCGAAATACAACGGACGTTTGTTTGTTCTCAATGGCATTCGGTTGGTAATGATCGAGAGCATCAATAGTTCTAGTGGAGACGATTGATTTTAAAATTATCCTCATTCTCTCATGCCATTTGCACTTTCCTCAAACAGCTCCAATAATCCTTTTAAACAAATTAAATAGCCCACGCGCCAGGATCACGTGGATTCACTCCTGAAATTCCTGCGCAGGGTTCTACGCACTCGGCGCATGTCAAATGCGCGAATTACGTCGCGGGTATTATTTTCATCATTACCAAAAACATCACAACAATTCCAAAGTAAAATTACCATGAAACAATGAAAAGCGGGAAAATTGTCACAGTGCAAGGATAGATCGATCTATCGATTTTCATCCATAGAAAAATAAGAGGTCATGGTTGTGACCTGTAATTCCCTTATCGTCGGTTCAAAGATTGAATCGACTAGTTCTGGTCTATCGTCCATGAACAAATGCACCCCCTCACGGATTTTCCCGGCCGTTAATCACCCCCAGGCTTTTACCGTCATTTAAATTTTCTCCCCCGTACCCAGGTTTCACAATAGGATCCAGCACCCCCTCACCTCTGTACGTAAAAGTCATTGTGAGCGCACGAGGGGGGCTACCTTTTTTTCTCCCTCCCGTATGACGCCATGTGCCACGGAGAGGAGTCACCCCGGGCCGAGTCGACCTGGCGCGTGCCAAACGATCTAACAATGCACGGAGATTCGCATTAGACGTGTGTCAAATACTATCCACCACCCCATCCGTGAAAAATATTCTCGTTGCACCCCTCTGTCACCGGTCCCAGGCGATGGGAACTGGCGACGTGATACTGATTTTTTTTTTTTCTCCAACCCGGGGCTGGGAATGGCCATAGGCCATTTTCTGAGGGGATTTCACATCCAGGGGATGAAGGGAAAGGAAGCATCCGGCGTACAAAAAATATTTTTGTGAATTTTAGGGGTTGAAAAATTCGAATTATTGGAATTATTGGAATTCTTGAAATTATTGGGATTTTAATGTGAAAAAAAAAATTGGTTCTGGGTGAAAATGGTGGAGGATAGGTGGGATAAAATATCAGGATGATTAATTGTTGTTTTTTGGAATGGTCCAGGGTGCAGTGAGGACGAAGGCAGCGCTGAAGTTGGTGAAGTGGGCGGTTGCGCGTCAGGTGGGGCAAATAACGGTGAGGGTGGATCAGCCAAACAGGACGAGCGTTGCCCACAGTGCGGCATACTTTGCCGTAATATCCACGTTCTTCAACTCCATCTTGAGGACGCCCACAAATCCTCATTCGTTATTGATAAACACGACTTAGGTGCTCAATTTTCCCAAGTTGTAAGTCATCAACCCAACAATTATTCCCTCAGCACCAATAATTTTTCGATAAAAATTCCATTTTATCAATTACCCAAATTAATTATTAATCATTATCACTTAATTTTTTGAAGGATTACTTGCATTTTAAATGAACTTATGGCTCATTATCTTTGAATTTCAGTCCTGCAAAGTCTGCAGCAAAACATTTGCAAACGTTTACAGACTGCAGAGGCATATGATTAGCCATGACGAGAGCGCAGTTTTGCGCAAATTCAAGTGCCCACACTGTGAGAAGGCGTTTAAGTTTAAACATCACTTGAAGGTCATTAATTAATTAATACCGCATAATTAAGGATATTCTACATCCATATCTGGTTAAAATCAACTTTTTTTTGCGTTTTCTCATTATTTCATGGTTCACGAAGTTTCAAGTCGGTGCGCACATTTTTACAAAATTTAAATACCATGAATTTTGGCTATATATGGGTGTGAATTCTTTAATTGAACAGACGAATCTCAAAATAATGTGAAAAATTACAGGAACACCTTCGAATTCACAGCGGTGAAAAGCCTTTCCAATGTAACAACTGTGGAAAACGTTTCTCCCACTCTGGCTCGTACTCGAGCCACATGACATCGAAAAAGTGCCTAATAGTAAACCTCAAGAAGTCCAGGAATCACACAGTGCATCCCGATCGCCCCAAGAAGTCCTCGCCACATCCTCTCCCACCGCCTCGTCCGCGAGAGGAGTTTCACCCACAGAACAACAATACGTTCCTTCCAATTCTGCCAAAGCTCTCGCCTTCGGATTACCAGGAACTCCAGAGGGATAATCCAAGTATCTACGACATGCCAACCCTCCTCCCCCAGATGATGGGTCTGGGGAATTATTTTCTCCAGTCGTCGATAGGAAAATTACTGAATCAACTGCACAATAAGCGCCTTGACGAGATGACTGAACAGTTCGAGTCCCACAGGGAGACACAGAGCCCCTCGACAGGAGATTCTGAAGAAACAGAGGTCGAGGGTAAGTACTCACCGACCCCAAGTGATCCCCAAGGTCTGGACGCAGTCCGACGTATCCTGGAGACCGTCAATACATCTGTAACAAAACAGTTGCTGGAGGCGAATGTCCGGAAGCTCTCGACATCACCAAAGCCGATCCGTGACCCGATGGACCAGGATCAGGACTCTGAGATGTCCGGTGAGACGTCCAATTGGCAAGACTGGCAGTCTGGTGATCAGTACGACTCCCAGAGTGAGGGATTGGCAGCAAAATTGGAGGACGCGAGTCAGTCGAGTGTTGGGAAAAGCCGAACTGGCAAGAGGAAGGCTGAGGACATGCTTGAGAGCTTCATCGAGGCTGACTCCGACGATGAGGAGGATGTCAGGGCCTCTGGGGATAGCACCAGGAGGGTGAGGGCCAGATCCCTCATCGACGAGGAGCAGCTTGCTGTGCTCAAAGGATATTACCAGATCAATCCACGTCCCAAGAAGGAGGAGATCGTCATGATCGCCAATTACATAAATTTCCCAACGAGAGTTGTTCAGGTCTGGTTCCAAAACTCGAGGGCTAGGGATCGCAGGGAGTCCCGAATCCCTGCACTTCTTCCTCTCTCCAGCATTGGAAACCATGCTGGCTTCGAGCAGCCCCTGGATCTCTCCAAGAAGGAGGTTGTCGTCGTGGAGAAGGAGAATAATGTCAGAAGCACTGTGGTACCTGGAGAGGGCAAGGAGATTAATGGAATCGTGGGGAATGGAGAGGATATTGAGGAGGCACCTCTCGTTATTGACGAGGAGACTATCGACTCTGGAGATATTAAGAAGGAGCCATGCCCTGGGAGTGATCCAGTTGTCAAGGTAATTAATTTAAATATTATGAAATGGAGAGTGAATGGTTTTTCGAAGGACTTGCGACAATTTGGAAATTTAAATTCACAGCAAAGTCCAGCGAGGGGTCATGGGAAGACCGATCGTGAGAGGCCAGCGTCGACGGAGGCACCCGCGGTGACGGAAAGCGAGCAAGAGGGTGTTTATGTTTGTGATCAGTGTGACAAGACGTTCTCGAAGCACAGCTCATTAGCTAGACACAAGTACGAACATTCCGGTGAGTTATTGAACGTTTCTCAAATTATTCGAGGAGTCAGACGAATGGGTATTTAAAATGATAAAAATGACAGGACAAAGGCCATACAAATGTGAGGAATGTCCCCGCGCCTTCAAGCACAAGCACCACCTGACAGAGCACAAACGCCTTCACACAGGTGAAAAGCCCTTCCAGTGCTCAAAGTGCCTCAAACGTTTCTCACACTCTGGATCATACAGCCAGCACATGAACCACAGATACTCGTACTGCAAGCCCTACAGAGAATAAAATACTCCGAGTTCATCAACCAAATGCTCAGCCTCCCTGTGACCCAACTCCAAGTACGTATATAAATTAAAAAAATAAAAATAAAACTATGAGGGAGAAAAGTGCGAGAGATGAATAATAATTCAGGATATTAATGAGACATCACATACAACGATCGCATCTGCACTCTTTTGAGTGATCTACTCATACGATCGAGTGGACAAATAACAGTTGAACAATAATAAAAGGCCTCAATACGAGTTAACAAATAAATAAATAACAAAAGATAAAATTTATAACAGCAACACGTAACGGTACCAAAAATACATAATGCAATAATCTATTATAAAGTATATAATATACATAATATTTTATTATTTTTATTAAAAAAAATTATATATACCATGACAATAAGATGAAAATGAAACTAATTAATGTACAAATTTGTTAGCCACGTTCACTTTGGGATGTGAGATTAATTATTCGATGGGTCATACCCTGAGAAATAAATTTTGCTTGTCAATGGACGATTAAGATAATGAATTAGGTGGGGCAGAGCTGTGTCCAGTGGCTTCTGAGAAATTCAATAACGAATTCAGATATTTTTTTTTTACCATGACATTTAACTGTTTGACACATTCCTAAGTACTGAGGATTTATTTCATAATTATTATGAAAATTATTGAACGCAAGACTATCGAGCTTCAGCATTTTCAAAAGGCAACCCAAATGGATAAAGACGTAAGTAACGGAGTAATTGGGGTTGATTATTGAGGGGAATCGGGGGATTTGGTGAAGGATTTTTGCGAGTTGATTGGGGGATGATTGATTAATCATTGTGACGTACTTACGAGAGATCCTCGTTTTAATGAACAATTATTTCAAACTACATGAACGTTTTGGAAATACATTCCGTAGAGTTTCTTTCGTGCAATCTATTTTTTTAACACGATTAGTTATTAATTAACTAAATTATCGGTGGATTCTCTCGCAAACGTTCACCGATCTCCGAATTATGGGATTTACGAGTGGAAAGGCCACACTGTTAGCACTTTATTGAAATTCGAGTGACAATTTACCAAATGAGACCTTTCATTCAATTCATTAAATTCATCAATTTTTTAAATTCTCTTATTACATTATTAAACTCAATTAATTCGTAGTAAAGTCCCATATTTTTCACTTGAAACTTCACTAAAAATGTCCTAACAGTGAATTTGTAAAGTATGAAAAAAGAATTTAAGGTACGATATTAAATGCTTCCATTTCTTGTACTATTAAAAACAATTTATATAATTTTCAAGGGATAGAAAGCGAAAATATATTTAAAATCGTCCAGTCCACGATTGCAAAACCCCCGGATAATTGACGATAATTACGATAATACTCGAGAATGTATTTTATAACAATTTATTCGTCTCTCTTATTATTTACAATGAAAATAAAACAATTGAGTAATAACGTACCGCAGGTGATAAATGATATTGTTATCGGTAAAAATGGCTGGCGGTGACGAGAATTTCCGCTGTAACAATTCAGTCGAAATGAAAAAAAGCCGGAAATAAAAATGATTGAAATGATAATAAGTAGTAATGGATACCTAGACATTAAATAACGCTGAAAAACTTGTACTTCCTCATTTCGTAGAAGCTTCGGTTATCCGCGACAGGCATCGTGTTCATGTACGCTACGTATAATTAAAAAAAAAAGCAACATTTGATGCTTGGAATACTCTTTATTATAGTGTTAACACTTAAGAAATATATTTTTATATAATTATAATATAATATTATATACTGGTAGTAGGCAGGAACGAAATAAGGTACATAAGGTCGTAATGTTTGGACAGAGCAATTGAAAAAAAAAAATACAGATCACATTAACACTCGATTTATTTCAAATAATTGATATAAAAGATGAAAAGAAGCGTTTGATTTCCCAGTGACATCCGAATTGGAGATAACCCAGTGAATTTATCAGATGCAATTGAATAACCGAGGGAAAATTAAATACGCAAATGTTTAAGGCAGTGGATAGATAAAAAAATGAAGCAGAATTTTTACGAATTGTTGACGCAACGATAATGCACCATACGATGCCTTCCGTGAACGACCGAGCTTGCCTAGTTGCCAATAAACTAAATACGACGAAGCAAATTTTATATGTTAAATACAAAATACGATACAAATAACGTTGAGGGAATATTTCTCGATGATACTATAGTCCTCGAGTTTTTTTTTTTCACATTAAGGGCAGTTTTAAACTGCTGGTTATGCTATTGAGCTTTCCACGAGTTGAGGAAAGAACCGCAGAATTTGAGATTGACGCAGATTTGTATATAATACTGGGAATACCACAGACAATAATATACCGCTGTTTCATGATAGATTTAATGAGAACATACTAGTAATTTAGGTGCATTAAGTATACACGTAAGGTGAATTTATGGGGAATAAAGAGTCGTATATATTGGATACGCGTTTAACGCGGAGGAAGGGGAATTATGCTGGTGGTTGAAAAATTCTCAAAAGCCAATACTCCAGGATTTTTCTTCGAGACTCAAGTGATCCACCGAATATTTTTTACTTTATGTTTTTTTTTTTATCGACTTTTGTCGATTTATTACCCAAGCGATGAATTATTTAATTGGAAATTTCTCATTCATCTAGATAACGAGTTCCCTCATTATCGAGAAATTATTTGAAATTTGTTTTTAAACTTGAAATTTCAGGAGTAATTTTCAAACGGTGGATTTTATTGTTTTTGATGGAAAAAAATGTTCGCCACCTGGCAATATAAACCAAAGCAAAAGACAAAGTTGATTAAAACTAGAGATAAATGAAATAATTTAAGTGATAACGTATTGTCGACAATTGCTGTTGCATTGAATCCCCAGTGACTCGTACCGAACAACAATTGAGGAATAACGAATGATAATTGTATTGTGACAACGTTCCATCCATAATTAAATAATGAAAAACCAAAAAATGATAAAAAAAAAAGTAAATATTATACAGTTGGGCCGACTATTCCGCCAGTTCGTGCCTTTTTTCTGCAGGGAGAGTGTGGTCTTTTTCGAATTCTGATTCAGTGTATTAGCCACTGTGTGAGTGATTTAATGCAGGAATTTAATATTTAAATGAATTAAGGGATGAAAATTATTATATATGTGTAATATTAATTAAATGTGAGGCCAATGAATGAGGAGTGGATTTTTTCATTAGCACGGGAAGAAAATAATTTGAAGGGCCAAGGAGATGTGAATGATGTCATGTGCAAGTAGTTTGTTATTTTAAGGCGAGATGATTACGCTTAGAATAATATTTTTCCAATAAATTCAAAAGCGGCTGCATGGACTATTGTAAAACCACAAATTAAATGGGTCTGATTATCTCTGTATATTTTTCATTCCATTTGCAAAATGTTTAAACGCTCAGCGGATACCTCACGAATTTTAGAAATGAAGGGAAAGGGGAATTAGTGTGAAGGAGTGCATTAGCCGCATATTGTACATTACATTTAACAGAATGCATTTCTTTTTACTTTTACTTACGATTTATTTTACGTTGCTCGTTTGTAATTGTGTAATTTACCTTCGTTGGGTTAAAAAATACCTTGGTATATTATTATATTGAAAAATATTGTCATTCTGTCGAATAAAGATGAATGATTTATAACAATGTTTTTCATTTACTCACTTCCACTTTCCTCCACTTCCTGAAGAGGAGGCAGCACAAGCTGGACAAATTAAATTTATCCTATCTCTTGTACCTCTTGCACTCCATGTGGATCATGAAGAGATCAGCTGTACCATCACCTTGAAAACTGCAACGACTCATTGAGTTTCTCGTCTCCATATTGTGCCCCTCGCACTAAAAGTGCATGTATAGTTGTGCCAGTGGAAATTCTATTCATGATTCATCACCATCAAATATCACAGGATTTGGATTAAATCGCAATTGTGAGTATTACCTCGATTATTCCCTCGACCATTCAATCCAAAATCTCCAAGACCCCTGACAAAATCATTTCCATCGGAATGCAGGTGATTCCCCGGGATGAGCCCGGACGTCAATCTCATGGCTCCGATCCCTGTTTTCCACCAAAATGTCCAATTTTTTTTTTTTCGTCAAAGCATTGATGAATACGCCCACACGACGGATATCGAGTGGTAGTTGTCGATCGATTTATCGGTGATGAAGTCATCCTGGGGTGATCCTGGGGTCTGGGGGAATATTGGAGGGCCTGGGGTTCATCACCGGACATAACCCTCTTCTGGAACAAGAGGTCGGATTTATTGAGGGATTTTTTTTTATTGCTGCAGATGTCTAGTGGACCTCAGCATAAACATCGTTACAAGAATGTCGGTCTCGATGCCCAGGAGCTACGACGACGACGTGAAGAAGAAGGAGTTCAGCTGCGCAAGCAGAAGAGGGAACAGCAACTGTCAAAGAGGCGTAATGTGCCGACTATCGGGACTGATGATGAAACCATCTCCAATACTAATGAGTACCCAACACCAGCAGCTCTGGTGAGTTTTTTTACAAAATAATGGCTTACTTCGACAATCTATTTGCATGAGTTGTGTAGAGAATTGAATTTCGTGGGAAATTGAATTCTCTACAAAAGAGATATTTTGAAGATTGCTCAGGGTGTATATTATGCTGATAAATGAAGAGTCTCTTCCAGCAACAACCAGTGATAACAAAAGAAATGGTGGAAGCCCTCTACAGTGAAAATATAGAGGAGCAGGTGGCAGCGACTCAAAAATTCCGAAAGCTCCTGTCACGCGAGCCGAATCCTCCAATTGACGAGGTCATTCAGACCGGAATAGTTCCCCGATTTGTTGAATTCCTGAAGACCGACACAAACTGCACACTCCAATTCGAGGCAGCATGGGCATTGACGAATATAGCCAGTGGTACATCTCCCCAGACACACATGGTGATCGAGGCAGGAGCTGTTCCCACGTTTATTGCCCTGCTGGGCTCCTCGTACGAGGATGTGCAGGAGCAGGCAGTGTGGGCCTTGGGAAACATCGCTGGTGACAGTCCAGAGTGTCGTGATCACATACTCAGCAGTGGAATTCTACCGCCACTGCTTCAACTGCTCTCCAAGACTACCAGACTCTCGATGACGAGGAACGCTGTATGGGCACTGTCAAATCTCTGCAGGGGAAAAAGTCCACCCCCAGCCTTCCCCAAGGTCTCACCATCTCTGCCAATTCTAGCACATTTACTCAATCACTCGGACTTTGATGTACTCGCTGATGCCTGCTGGGCACTTTCCTACCTCAGCGATGGACCCAATGAGAAAATTCAGGCTGTCATCGATGCTGGGGTCTGCCGACGTCTCGTTGAGCTACTGATGCATGAGCAGAATAATGTTGTGAGTGCTGCACTGAGAGCTGTGGGAAATATTGTCACCGGTGATGATGTGCAGACCCAAGTGGTGCTCAATTGTTCAGCTTTGCCCTGTCTCCTGCATCTGTTGAGCTCCTCTCGTGAGGCTATCAGGAAAGAGGCATGCTGGACTGTCTCTAACATCACAGCTGGCAATGCTCAGCAGATACAGGCGGTCATCGATGCCAACATCTTTCCAGTGCTCATTGAGATCCTGGGGAAGGCCGAGTTCAAGACGAGGAAGGAGGCTGCATGGGCCATCACTAATGCCACCAGTGGTGGAACACCCGAGCAGATACGATATCTCGTGCTTCATGGCTGCATTCAGCCTCTCTGTGATTTACTCACTGTCATGGATCCCAAGATCGTGCAGGTGGCACTCAATGGACTCGAGAACATTCTCAGACTTGGAGAACAGGATATTAATGTTCACAATGGAGTCAATCCGTACACTGTTGTCATCGAGGAGTGTTATGGTATGGAGAAATATTTAATTTAATTTAATTACGCAATTATTCCATTACTTCATTAAATACATATAAATTTAATCGATCGGAAATGCGTGATTGTATTTGTTTCAGGCCTAGACAAAATTGAATTCCTCCAGTCACACCAGAATATGGACATATATCAAAAAGCATTTGACATAATCGAGCGTTACTTCGGCTCCGAGGAGGAAGACGCGAGAATCGCCCCAGGAGTTGACTCACAGGGTCAGCAATTCCAATTTACTACCCCAGACTCATCGCAAATGCCAGTGCAGAACTTCCAGTTCTAGAGGAATTCCACCAACGTGGGACGTGCATTATAACCGCTTATGCTACGACTAAAAAGATCAATTTTCTCAGGGTGAGATAATTCGCCCGCAGAATCGATTGTTGAATGGAATAACCGACGATTCAGTAACGATTTTGATTATGGAAATCTTCTGTTGCATGGGAATTCATTTTTCAACACTTGATAAGAATATGAGGGAATCAAGTATAAAATAACAATTGATCTATCTTTTATTGCAATTTTCTGGAGGTGAAATTATCTGATTGTGAAAACACAAAAACAGCTCCAGTCTCTTTGTTATGAATTTATTTCTTCCTTTATCATTTTAAAAAATGTTGTATAGGTTCTACAGTGATGCGAATTATTTAGATCTTAATACAATACGTCAGATTGTATGACAATTGATTTTTTTTCTTCATTATTATATTAGTTTTGTTTATTCGATTGAATTCGTTCTTTATTATTTTCTCGCCTTTTCACGTGGTTAAAAAATTGACAAGGGTGTTTAACGTTTAGGGCTTAAGTAGGGTGTTAAATCGAATTAACGAAAATTGACAGCTTACGACGGACGTCTGACACGTCACTGACTGATTTTAGGGGAATTTTGAGAGATAAAGGATATTTGAACAGACAGTGAGACGACCAATCACAATTTTTTACTGTAAATACGGAAACTCGTGGTTCAAATCGGTCTTTCCAGGCAGATTAGGCATTTCGAGGATTACTTTGTGCTTCATTTTTGTCTGGTAAGTGAATAACCCCGATAAACACTAACTCGAAGAGGAATCACAGATAAATAGGAGTAGAACAGGTCTAAAATGTGTAAAAGTTTATTTCAAATTTGTTTTTATACAGAATTACCTCGAGAATCCCAAATATTCTACGATAAATTAATACAAAACGTGATTTTTATCTTCCTCTGAGGAATTAAAAAAAATCAGACATCGCGTTAAATGTGAGAACTACACCAGGACTAATGACTAATCATAAAACGACAGATTTATTTTGAACAAAATGATAAAAACGAGAAAACACGAAAACAATAATACGTAAATCTTAAGTCAATATTGAGGCTCTCTGTTTTGATGAGAAATATATCATTGGAGTCATAAGAGAATTGCAAATTTTTTCCCATCCTCTCCTTTTCAAAAATTAAAACGTTCCCGAATCGTTAATTTAAAAATAGGTTAAAGTCATTCACCATCAATTGATCGATTTTAATATCGAAGGGGACAACTCTTTACCCCTGGCTCTGGCTGCACGTGAATAATTGCCCCATCAGTCATCCTCGTGATCAATGCCTGGAGTTTCTCCTCGTCGATCTTTCCCTGCAGCTTCAGTGTCAGCTGCTTCTCGACAAATTCGATCAGTTTCTCGTTCGTGTAGCCATCGATTTTCATCGTCAGGATGTAGATGGCCTCCTTAACGAGGGGATTTTCGCGATCGCAGAGATTGTGAAAGGCTTTCATGGCCTCGGGATGAATATCCAGGAGATGCTCCACGATCTATCAAAGTGGTACAAGAAATATTTTTTTTAACTCCTGGAATTCTCCAAAAATTGTACGAACCCTTACCACGACCTTCTGCCTCTGAATTTTTCCCTTCAGCTTCTCCAGGGCCATTCCGTAGTCGTTCCCCAGGTCCTCCGGGGACAGGAGGAGATCCTCCTCAGACCTGAGAGCAGTTTTACTGGCATTCCCGATCATCTTAGCTAGACAGAACATGGGGTTGTCCTCGCTGGAGAAGAGTAAAAAAATCGTGGGTCTCCTGGGGTTCCTGATGACCTCGGCGATACCCGCCTCGAGGTCCCTCCAGATGGAGGGGTACTGCTCCCGGAATCTCGCCCTAATATCATCGATATTCTTCCCCAGGTTTTCCAGGGCTTCGAACATCATTTTCTTCTCATTTAATTCAGGTTCCTGGGTCTCACCGAAGGAGACATCCATCGCGTCTGAATTTAGGGCCCCCCAGATGACGAGGAAGATCCCGAGGATCACCACACAGCCCCAGCACAAGTAGTTGTGCTGGAACTGCTTTCCGGAATTTCGAGTAGACGTTTTTGATGTGTCAAAACGATCTCGAGGGGCCTGGGGTCCTGGGGTCCTGGGGGTTCGCCTATGAATCTCCGAAGTGGAGGACTGCCTCGGGGACCCTGAGACCACTGAAGACCGACTCCTGGAGCTGTAGCCTGGCGCAGTCTCTGGAGAACCCTCCGAGTCAGAACCACTCGTTGAATTCTCTGATTCTGGAACTGTAGGAGTTCTCGATCGACTCCTGGATGTCGGAGACTTGAAGGGGATGGACTTCGGAGGGCTCAGCATCCTGGAAAGTGGTGGCCTCGGAGCCGGTGTTCTCGGTGTAAATTCACGTTCCCTCCTCAGATTTCCCTATTGATAAAGATTCAAAGGTTGACAAAAATCCTCGTAACAATAAAAAACTAAAAATTACTAGAAATGTTCTCCTCATCTCCACGACCATTTTTCTCCTTTGACACACCGGTGACTGAAAAATAATGTCCTTGAAATAATAAACACATGTTTATACACCAAATAAAGGTCAAATGAGCCGCGATGATGGTTCAGTGCTGCCAACAGCTGACTGAAGGGCATGAGGTTGTCGCTTCGGAGCTGTTGAGTAATAAACAAAACAAAAGTGTTTGTTGTGAGTGAATTTAATCAATTTGGGGCCGGGGATGTTGGGAATTGGTGGTACCTCAGGTGCCCAGCAAAATGTGCTCCACTCCGATGAATAGAATTTTCCACTGGGGACCACTTACCGCTTTTGGTGAGTCCTGATTATATTTCACTGATTCACCTCGTCTAAAGGATATTTCAGGTTATTTATCGGTGATTTTGGGGGTCTGGGGGGTTCTATACCCTCGGTGTTACGACCTAAAGGCCTTTTGCATCCTGGGGGCCATGACTTCAGCTCATTTTTCACATCGAATTTTTTTTTCGGGGAATTCAGAATGCAAAATCACTGAATCACTGCCACTTATACTGGGGTATGTCGCGGGTGATGTCCAGTGCCGGGTTTTAGCGGGAATTTTTAATTTTTTCTTGAGTCTCAATTTTTTTCATCTACCTGTAAAATTATTGTCGGATAAATTTTGTCAAAAGAATTTTCTAAACGGCAAAGACATGTTTATTGTTTCAGGAATAATAAAGATCATAACCCTGATGACAATTCATTGCAGCAGACAGTGGTGGTCTCCCCAGGAGAGTATCTCCGGTGCTGCAAATTTTTTACTATTTTTCAGTCTGAGTGGATCGACAATTTACCACTTTATCACAGCCATCTACGAGGGTCCAGGGTATCTCCCTCTAAAATGGAAGCCGGTGAGTTCAAAGCGTGATTCCCTCAGTGAGCTTTATTAAACCCGTGTTTTCCTCCAGGAGAAGCTGGAAGACACACAGTATCTGCAATTCTGCAGAATATGCGAGGGTTACAAGGCACCACGTAGTCATCACTGCCGCAAATGTAATGAATAATTCATTCTGCAATTCGGAATTATTCTGAATAGAATTTGTCGTACCTAAAAGTCATTATTCAAAAATTGAGTCCCAGATGGTAATTTTTTATTGATAAAAATTAATTATTCATGAATAATTAATTTTAGGTGGTCGTTGCATCCTGAAAATGGATCATCACTGTCCCTGGATAAACAATTGCGTGGGCCACAGAAATCACGGTCACTTCACAGCCTTTTTAGCAAGTGCAGTTGGTGGATGCTGTGTATCGACAGTTATACTCGTCTGCTGGTTGCTGACGATTTTATCCCGAAGAAATATCAATTTTCCGCCACCATCAGTGTTCACTCTAGTCATCGTAGTCTTCACGATTGGACTCTCCATCGGGGTTGTCCTGGCCGTGGGGATGCTCCTCTATTTCCAAGTGAGTCATTTCCACCGGTGTTTTTTTATAAATAATATATTTTTTAATGTCCTCCAGCTGTCAGCGATCATTCGAAACACGACGGGAATCGAGGACTGGATCATCGAGAAAGCGAAATATCGAAGATTGGGTACTAAAGATCAATTTATTCACCCCTATTCAATAAAATGGAACGTCAACATCAGGCAAGTGCTCAAGTGGCACTGCGAACCGGATGGCGATGGCATAATATGGCCAGTACGAGAGGGCTGTGATCAATACACACTCACAGTAAGTGCCTCTCATAAAAAAAAAATAAAATCGATGGACTCTCATTCGTATTGGATCCATTTCTAGAGAGAGCAAGGTTATCAAAAGCAGGAGAAACGTCGCAGGGCACGAAGATATCGTACAATTTTCAAAGTGTCAGGCTCCTGGATTCCAATAACCTACGGCTGGCGAGTGATTTGTCATCCACCGTGCACAGATGAGCCCAGGATCAGACTCGAACCTGAGGATATCGTCACCGTCACCCGATGGCGAAGGTCAATAATCAAAATTAATCCTTAATCAGCCGTTATCTCAGTAAAAAATAATCCCAGAAAAAAATTTTATTGAACTTTTTTGGCGGAAATTCAAGTCCCTACAAAAAATATTCAGTTCATTTTTCCTGTAGGACCACTCGTCATCGAGATAATATGATGTTTAATGGAGAAATCGTTATGCATGATTAAAAATTCCAGACACTGGCTGTTCGGAGAGAAAATGCAAGAACGTGACGATCCGAAGATGCGCGTAAAAGGATGGTTCCCACGTATTAGTGCTATCGAGGTCGTGGAGAACGAGGATTACACCGACTCCTTCTCGAAGGACGACTGAAGATTGTTGTTGCGTAATACAACAAAATCCCTCGTAAATCCCAGATATGTGATCAGTAAATTTTCAATTTTTTTCTCCTCCATTCATTAACAGTTTTTATTGAATTGCTATTCTGCACATGCGAGGGACTACAAGATAATTGTAATTACATGTAATCCATGATTTTTAATGAGCCGTTATAATGGCACACCGTTGGATATCCAAGGACAAACGTCTGGAGGAACGTTCCCTCGACCATTTCCGTGGAGTTATGTTTATTCTAACAATCTAGACGAATAAATCTTGATTGTTGAAAAAATCCTGTCTATTTATGCTGGTGCGGCACGAGATTAATTAAATAAAAAATTTTTTAATCGTTCCTCCTGTTTTCATTTTTTTTCTCATATTAAATATGTCGAATAGAATTTCTCGCCGGAAAAATCACTGGATTTTTCTACTGAATCTCTCATCTGTGCAATTTTTTCTCGATGAATGGAAAAAGAAAACTAGAAGCAGAGAAAACAATTGTTGCCCGTGAGGTGAGAAAAAATCAATAGAGCAGTGCAAAACGCATGGACATGCAAGGAAAAAAGCGAGAAAAATGGGAAAAAGGGGAAAGGCCATATAAAAATGTGAAAATTCCGTTGAGGCCTTACCCTATGACAAAATGTGTGACTCAAAGGATTACCCTTGGTACAGAGCACGCAATCGGCTGTCACGCAGAGCTTGTTCCAATTTTTTTATTTATTTTTCTTCCATATTTCTGTTTGATTTTGCTTCAATCGTATTTCCACATGCACGAGGGGAAAGACTAAACTGGAACAGCCGACCCTCCCCTTCGACAAAAAAAAATCCCATTAAATCCCCGAAAATCCCTCGGAACACAAAAGTCATTCTATTCACTGATCTAATTCCGCTCCCGGTGAATTGTCATTCCAAAATGATTTATCCTGATCCCGGAGATGATATCGCTTTTCCATGAATATTCAGTGATTGTTGCATTGTGCTTTTTCACTGGTGATTTATTGTTTTTACGAATGCAAAATATCTTCATTTGAATAAAGTGATGGATTCCACCTGTCGATGGAATGAACATAATAACACATTCATCCGCAGCCACACGATTGTGCGGTGAATTCCTTCATTCATCTATTGACAAAACTAAATTGTCGGGGTGACAATACGCTCAATCAATCAGACCGAGCAAACGACTGCATTCAATTTCTAGGGGTGAGATTACACGCATCAATTGTTGGTTTACAGCTATTTTCATTTTACACGCTGGATATATGAATATTATGGAAATAAACGAATCAATTCAAATGATTTATTATTTAATAATATAAATAAAAAGCGCACGGATAAATCGATTATTCATAATAAAATCCAGCAGGGAGAGAGTGTTCGGTCATATATTCAGTTTTCATTGAAATTGTTATGATCGTGGAATTTTTTCTATTTAAAAAATCGACGTGAGCTAGGCAATTGCCAATGACACAAGAATCGACTGAGATTTCTGAAAAAGAAGGGCGAGAATTCCATGGTGGGATCTGCAATCACTTTAACGTACACCTCTCATTTACAATCTGTACTTTTCGTACAGTTCACTCCGACCAGTTCGTACAAGAGGACGTCTCCAGGTAAATTCTGCGACCCACGTCTCTAAAAATCTGTAAAGAGAACAGGTGATTTTTTCAATTGACTCATTTTCGAGTGGAGTATTTATCTGAAGAATTGTGAGATCCAATTACTAATTTTATTATTTTTTTTTCAGACATGATGTCGCGAGCTGTAGCAATTCTTCTCGTGGGAGCTTTTGTGGTGATAAATATTGCTGATGGATTCCCTGATGGTGCACCAGTTGATGCCTGCGTTAAGGAACGACCGAATCAGCCTTATCACGCCCAGATAAAACCTCAGCCATCGGGTACGAGTCCTTATCAGATTCTCCAATCGTCTCGTCAATACGCACCTGGCACACAACTCACTGGTAATTATTTCTGATTGATTGAACTCGGGGAATCCCTCGAGTAAATAAAAGGAATCGATTGTCACTCGGAAAGTCGAGTAATTATCGTAATGGGATAATTTTTTAAAATGGTTTCCGTTTAACCCACTCCTTGTTCGGTATTTAAATTCAAATTAAAGTCTAATTACTCGGAATTTTTAACATTTATTTATAACAATTTATTATTTATATTATTCAAGTGACTCTTCGCGGTGGGAGTTACTTCAAGGGATTCTTCATCCAGGCGAGAGATTCAAAGAGTCATCAGTGGATTGGAACATTTGCTCACACACCGAACACAAAAGTCCACGACGAGTGCAGTGCAGTAACCCATGCCGATCCCAAAGAAAAAGAGGAGGCAACCCTCATCTGGGATGCACCAGCCACCGGCAAGGGTCAAGTATACTTCACGTAAGTATTGATATAAGTATACTATCCAAATGATAAATCAAAGAACGCAAGTGTTTGTATCAATTTGATCGGTGAGAGGTAGTTTTCCTCGACCTTTCCCCTTCAATTCTATTTCTCCATTTGGGCTCCACAGAAATGTCGCGTGTCGGTTATTACCATAACTTGTTGGTAAATCCCAGGGTATATTAATGACGAAATCACTTATATTTGAGAAATTTTTAATGCGAGTTGAAAGACCGTAGATTACTAATAGGAGAAACCGGTTTTCTTTGTGATTTATTTTCAGGATATAATATTAATTGTGGTATTGATCTTTTTTGATTTCAGTGGCAGTCTCTTGAAGGAGTACGACGTATTTTGGGCCGACCTTGTCTCGCAGTGATGTCACACTACTTAATATAAATAATTATTTATCCCGTATAATTACTGTATAATTCAGTTCTCCAGAATTTCCATTTCACCTTGATAATTCTCTATTCTCAATCGTTTAGACATGAAAAAATATGAGCCAGCGATGAGCCACGACCGGGATAAAGGGTAACGTCTGCAATTAGTCGAGTGTAAAACAGTGGCTGAAGAAAAATCGAATGAATTCTCAAAATAGATACGATATTCACTCCATAAATATTCGTCTAGTGCCTCCGATAAATCCAAAGTTATGTACGAAATAAAATACACAAACAAGGTAAACTGAAGTGCTTTTCAATTCTCTCATTACCATTGACCACTTCAAGATCTCTTTCCATTAATAGAGCTAACAACTCACTAGGGCATTACGTGAATGGTACAGCGTTACGTAAAAGGTTTTTCAACAGAGTAAAAGTGGGCCAGTACCACGTGTCACTCGTTTTCTCGATTATTTTCTTAACTTCATCATAATCATGAATGAGAACTCGATTTTTCTCAGGAGACTATTTCATCAGACAGACATCTTTTTCAATCCGTTAAGATGACATTCTGACGCACAGTGGATCGATTGTTCAGAGATTAAAATAGTCTTCCTCGTTGCTCGCGCATTTGTTTTTATTTATAAAAAATTTGTTATGCTTGATTCGGTGGATGCAGCGGTGGTTATCAAGGATAAATTTATTCATAAGAATATTTAATAATAACTGGATCGTCAAGAAGGTCAACTGCGTCTTTGGTTGAGGAAGAACAGGGGAAAAACGGAGATCACGCCGATTTACTCTTGACGCTCGGAAATCAATCGAAATCAATCGGCAATTTATTTAAATTTATTTTATTTAAAAAACTCATTTTAATGGTAATTTTTATTGGAAATTCAATGAGCCACAGGAAAATCCCTTATAATTTTTTTCTCAGACCAATAATTCTCGATGATTCCCGATATTTTCCGACAAATTTGCGGTTGGAATTTGGTGTCGGTTGTTGGACCGGTGAGAGTAAATCGGCGTGATCCATGCATTACGAAAAATCGAACAGCTGAAAAGATAACGAATGCCACCCCCTCCCTGAAATTGCCGCATTGTTATCGTTATCAGAGAGCATTTGACTGAATTCGTGTTACCGAAAGTAAATCGACGTGGTCATGCGTCACGTAAACGTGAAAAGCCAAAGACGTGGGGTTGAGATTGAGAATTTTTCATTCTCCCTGGAGTCATGCTGCACAGAGTACGTGTGTGAACTCCTGGCCCCGTGCAGGGGTTGAAAGTTGGGGGTTGATTCTGGTGGTAATGTGGGGTCGCGCCGGCGCCTGGACGTCGCGACGCTGAACCCCAGCCCCCGATAAATCCCGAGTCACTTCGACGCCGTTTTCCTCGTCGGCTGTCTGTCGAGGGTGACGCATTCTCAGGAGTGTCCAAACAAAGGAACAAGTCTAAGAAAAATTTTTTTTAAATAAGGGGAATATTTTTATTTCAATCGTGGGACAGAATTTTTACGGGATAACGGGAGTTCGCGGGTGTTGAGAGTGGATGGCCTGAGAGGTATTACCTGGTGACTACATGAGTCCTGATGAGGGGGTAGTTACGGGTACAAATAATGTAATATGATAAGGAGTGAAGCGACGGGCCAGTGTGTCCGTGGCAAGGATTAGGATAATGTACCACGCGTTTGGAGAATCATCCAGGATCATTCCCCTTTTTTCTCTCATCTTGGGATCATGGATTGTCCTTGGAATGCCGGTCCTAGGGGACCCGGACCCCCCAGAATTCACCACGATCGAAGGTACTGCAATAAAAAATATCATTTTCAATTTATTGTACCCTCACTATCCTCCAATTGATCTCAAGAGTACAATTCAAATAATTTCACCAGAAAAATAATGACATTATGAATAAACAATGGGATCCAATTAAAAACATGAAAGGGCAAAATTTTCAATGAACAAGATATATTCTCAAATCTCTCATCTCAAACTCTCAAACTTCATAACCAGAATTAACCGACGATAAAGAGTCCGAATTGAGTTGTTTTAATTGGATTACCCCTCCCCCTTTTCCCCCGTTTCCCCCTTTTTCCCCTTTTTCCCCTTTTCCCCCGCAACATGTGCGGTGTCTCAATTAGCAAACAGTAAGTAGTTAGAGAAAATATTCGTCAGACGATGATTTGATTTGAAGGGAAAGAAAATAAAATGAAATGGTGACCTCTCTGCAGTGGCCCTTTGCCAAAAGTCCTAAACATTTGTATCGACTCGCAAGTATTTTAGCCAAAACCATCGAAACAAAGGGAAATAGAATATAATGCAGACGTGCATCAGGTTGTGGCGCCGAATCCCCATTGAATGACGTATATCAACGATTTTTCCACTCCCATCTTTCATTTTTAATGCTTTTTTTTTTCAATTTATTCCGTAAAATGATGCAATCACGCGAGCATCTGGCACCCCGACGTATTTCAAGTTTGGAATTGGGGGAATTCGATTTTTTTACCGGTCCTCGCCCTCCCCCGGGTCTCAATCGATATTTATTGTTTACCTGAAAAAATCCCTTTATTTTCCACGCAATCTGTCATTTTTTTCATTAATTTATTGCCGTTTAGAAGATTTATGAATAATTTGCCAATGATTTATTTCGAAATAATTTTTTTTTTCTCTCATTTTTATTTGTAAATTATAAACGATGTAAACAATTTCAATCAATTTTATTTTTGCACGCTTTATTTATGTTTTATTGTCGTGGCTTTTTATGAAGTTTGGGAAATTTAAATGGTTTTGTCTTTTCGTGTCGGTAATTTCCTCGGGAATTTGAAATTTCAGCGTCAATTCGCTGATTATATTTTATCGTCACTGTTTATTTCATGTTTTCCTTTGTTGTCATCGGCCGTCACATGCAACAAACGCAATCGATCGACAAGTCGTTGCATTTACCCCGTGACCTGTTGTATTCGTTGGGGTCGATAGTAGTATAAACCCCTTGAAAATCAGACCGCCATTATGACTCTTGGAAAAACGATTCGACACATCGATGCACTCGCAAATTGCGACGCAAATTCGTCTCGCAATTAGACCCGCGAATTACCGCGCGTCGAGAGACGTCGAGTGATAAAAAAAATTCGATTTCTTACCGATCCTCGGACTCCCCTAGTCTCCCCTAGTCTCCATCGAAATATATTTATCGAAATATTATTAATTGCCTGGAAAAATGATTTTTCGATTGACGATTAAAAAATTGTGACGAGTGAGATAGATAATCGCTGATAAGACATTCGCGTTGTCACGGAGAATTTCTTTGAAGGGAGAAAGACCTCGAAGGGCTGAAATATTCAGTCGGATTATTTCTCAAACATGTCCCGAGGAATTTCAGGTGTGCTGAACATCAAAAAGAGGGATCTGCGGCTTAAACTTTGAGGGATTAAAAGAGAATGTCCTTTCGTAAAAATGTCAAGCAATTAAGGGTGCAATGCATCATTTGAAGATCTCCGCAAAGTTTCAAGGCTCCTGTTGGCTGAAAATGTGCCGTCGCAATTCTCTTGGGTCTGCATTGCGGATGTGTTATTCCATTTTGGGGCGTTTGACTCGATGGAATTATCACTGTCATTATCTTATTTCTATTTCCGGGACTAATCCGTGATCAATCTGAATTAAGACATTTATTTTACCGGGAATAATCCCAAATTATCACTTTTAGTACTGATTTACCAGCAATTACCAGCAATTGCCAGCAATTGCCAGCAATTCAGTGATGAATTTTCGGTTTGTGGAGACAATACCGATGACTCACGGCGTGATAACAATAGAATAAATTGCAGTAATATTTCCATAATTCGGGTAATTACAAAGGAAAATATGGACTGTACAGTAATTACCATGCAATGCCGTTAATTTCTGGATCGTTAATTAAATTACGAATGGCTGAAGGATTTTATGAGAAAGGGATACAATTGGGAGATGCAGGCAACAGTGAAAGCTCTTCCAATTTCTCCCAACATTTATCAATTATCCCGTGAAATTGATATCCCGGTGGTTACCAACTCCATTTTGGGGCTGAATAATTAATCATTCCAGGGGCTCTAACTGCAATTGTACTCCATTCACTGGAATAGACACCTGGAGCATCGGGTCGACGTGTTGTCCCAGTAGTTGTTGAAAAACTTATGAATTATTCCTCGATAAAAGAAAAACTTTGCTCCAATTGCATTGGAAGGCTTTTTTAAATATTCAAATTCTGAGCTACTTGTTGTTTTCACACTTTATCCAGCTACTGTGTCACTGAATAACCAATGAACACCTGAATTTACGGGAGAAACGTCAGTATTATTTTATTTCTCCAGACATCAAAATTGAAAATTGACCTCACCATTCAATTGACCAAAAATTATTTGAATAACGGGATGATGAAAATTTTTTTGAATTTCAACCCCAAAAACTCTCCAGAAATTATTCACGGGTAGCTGTTAAAATTCTCTAGGGTCTCATTGACACTTGAAAACTTTGGAAATCCAGAAATAACTCAGCATCCCCTGGGAGGTATTCCCCAGGTTCTCGCAATAACAATTCCCAAGTTTTTCGAGTGCTGAACCTCGATTTTTTTTTTATTCATCAATATATACTTTTTTTTTACACTCGTAATTTTATAAACGAGATATCGCGTGACACGTCGCGACGTCGACGATGCCAATCAGGAACTCGGCAGGGAGTGAGCACTCTTTATAATTCCTCATTTGCTACATTCTAATTCCCCCCTTTCCCTCCCTTTTCCTCCTCCTTAGCCCCGGCGACTCATTAAAGCCATTACAATCTCTTTTTACTGCAGGGGAAAAATTCATTTATAAAATGCACTCTGCAGATAAATCATAATCCTCGTAATTCCTTGATTCCTGTTGAACTCGTTGTGCCATGGAAAATCCCGAGGCTCATTTGAGTAACTGGGGGACGGAATAATCGAACTAATGGATCGAAGTGAATTAAATTTATTTTAATTCTATTATTTTTAGATTAATTTTGAAATTTAATAGGGACTATTATCGCGAAGTGTAAATTGCATTTTTTTATTCGCCAGTTTTTTATGAATATCTCGAAATTAAAGGAAGATAATGATTTTTTCATAGAAAACTTTTTTGTAGCTCTCGTTCTTATCTCCAAAAAATGTTCATATGAAAAAATCGGAATTTCTTATGATATCGAAAAAAATGCAGTTACCAATTGACATTGATTCAAGTGAAATTCGTGGAGACGTGAAAGTCTGAGGGAAATAGACTCATCTCCTCTCCATCTCGCTTTTCCACAAAAGAAGACTAGAATGAGAAGAGTTGTATTGTCCCGAACACAAAGAATACGCCATTAAGAAAATTCAATGGAAGCCCTAGTGTCACCAGAGCTTGGTTGGTCCCTGAAAAATATATAAAGTTTACCACAAAAGTTGAAGTTAGAGTAAACAATTTCATCGCAGGGTGGTGACGTTGCCCAAGTGTTTTGATAGTCACCGAACTTTAGTTATTTTGTTTAAAAAGTTATTCCCGATGCCTTTCATTCACCCTCAAATGGAGCCATCATTTATCCCTAATGGAAAAAAATATTAGCCCCAGCTCAGCGAATATTTCCCTCTGGGAGAGATAAGGGAAATCGTTTAGACAGGATGATTCGATTTCACGGTAATGGCAGGAAGATGAAATACTATCACACCTGGTGAATTTACCACCGGTGAAATGAAACTGGGTCACTGGTGATATAGTGATGCTGGAGTTGATGCTCATTGGCCTCTTCATGGGGCTGATTCATCCTGTCCGCGGTACAGGCGTTAATCCATCGGTTCGGCTTTATCGATTACTTCCGGAAAGCCGTGATCCCCCGGAAACCAATGGATCCGGACACCCATGAGACCTCCGGGAGTAATCCTCAGGTTGTTCCACGCCGCAATTGGGACTCCAACAGATCAATCGACTCATGGGAGACATGGGGAGCTTCTCCGGAGCTTATCATCGACTTGCCCTTCCTTTCCTGAAAATATCTCTGGATATATCACAGATGGAAAAATTTTTTTCAGACCTTTATTGGAGCTTATGAAATTCCCCACAAAAAAGTATCCGATTATTTTTTTGTGAAATTATTTAAAGGGGAGATATCTCGGTATTTAGGAAGTCGTTAGGAATGAAAAATTGGGAAAATTGGATGAATTGGAGATTTTTTTGTTCTGGTGGACATTTTGGCGAGATTTTTTTAAAATTAATGGTGGTATTGAGTGGAGCCCCAGGTCCTCGAGGTAAAGGCAAAGAAAGATTTTTGAAAGTTGCAGTAGCCACCCACCTATAGGCAAAAGGTTAAAAACTCTTGGAAGCTGAAAAGCTCTCATTCCACCCCCTGGATCCATTCTCTGAGAGCTATGTGAGCTCATGTGGATCCCCTGGGGCCACCGAGGCCTCCCACTTCCTGATCATGTTCGACTTTGGAATCCAGCTGATGAGGTACCGGAATTCTCTCACCTCGACTTTTGACGTGGGTTACTGGGTTGAAAAAATCCAATGCCGAGGGTCTTCCGCGCCCCGATGAATTCTAATGAACTGAATTGACAATTCCCTCAATTAAAAATCCCCTCTTGTTCAAACGTGACGTATTTAGCCTCTCAGCACAATAGAATTTATTCAAGAAAAGAAGAAAAGATTGAGAAGAAAAAAATAGAGAGTCATTTAAAGACTTGCAATAGAATTTATGACACGACTGACCACGAGAATAAAATTCCAACTTCCTTATTAAATTCATCCGCATCCATATTTTCTCATCACGTACCACTGAAAGATCTGGAGAATTTAATATTCCAGGGAAGTGAATTCCTGGATTGTACGTGTGTTGTTATTTTTCCAGACATGACCGGACGTGGATCGAAGAAATTTGGTGACGAGTGCCGAGAGGATCACGAGTGCGGATTCGCCGGTTCCTTCTGCGATCCCAGGAACCGGAAGTGCTTCTGCAGGGAGGAATTCAGTGCGACTAATCACATTGACAAATGTGGACACCGTGAGTTGAATAATTAATCAACACGAGAAGAGAAAAAAAATAATATATTGCAAACATGAATTCGTTGTTGTGACAGCTGTCAATGTGAATGAGTCCTGTTTCTTCACTGAGCAATGCGAGCTCAAGGTGCCCCAGACAGAGTGCAGAGATGGCAGATGCATCTGCATTTTTCAGAAGATCCCAGTGATGCAGCCCAACGGTATCATCGAATGTCAGGGTAAATAATAGAACGACACAGAGATTAAAAGAGAAATATCCAGAAATACCTCGGGTAATAATTATTCCCATGTCATTTATTCTCGTCTCCAGCTGCAGTGAAAGAAGAGGAAAATCTCCGGTACGTGGATCCAGCGATGATCGGTATCCTCGTGGCGATGGCCCTCATGTTCATCATCATCTGTGTGGTTCTTCGACTTTTCAGCAAGTGGGTATCACCAGGAATAAAAAAATCCGTAGTAAATAAAAACCGTTATTGAAATAAAAATTGCAGAGCCCGTTGGCGTGAGAATCGAACGATCTTCAACACACCCAATGCCCGATTGATGAATGTCTCTCTTCTGCGTGACAACAACAAGCTCCTCCATGCCCAGGAGAGACGTGGGTCCAGGGCGAGTCAGCGAGGTCCATCACGACAGCCATCGATGGCCTCCCTCAGAGCCCATTCACCCAATGGCTCGCAGCAAGGTGCGAAAATTCCCCAGCGAGTCAACAGTACGGGTTTTTATCAACTCAATTACTAAGCAAGCAACTTCAGTATTTATTTGAGATTAAAGATCTTTTTTTTTTTACCGAGTTGAAGGAGCTTTCGCAGGATAAAGGAAAGAATTGAAAAGAGGAGAATAAAATGTTGTCGTCTCTTCGATAATTCCTTGCTCTTGCTCATGATCCTTTGAGCGATGATTTTTTTTTTCTTAGAGCAACCGAAATATTGTGGTATTTGTTACTTTGTTTCACCATAACTTCGTAGATAGTCCTGTGATCTTGTTTCTCTCCCTGAATACGAGGATATACTGTTGAATCTAAAATAAATGAGTTGAGTTTTGTTTCAATAGTCAGACATGAAGGAATATTGTGGCATGTGGTATTGGTGATAGTCGAGTCATTTATCTGATAAACTTTCTTCACATTGGGGTAAAGTATCACACGGTAATTCAGACGTGAAGTGACTAATTGGTTGATCACTTCACTCATGAATAGCCCCTCAATTCTTCTCTGTACGATAAACTATCGTAATCATGATAATTAGGTGATTGTACTACTCTAGCTGAATGACAGGTGTCAATAAATCGTGATAATAAATAGTTGCTTGCTAAAGTAAATGATTTGCCTGTTGAAACTCGTGTTCGAGAGTTATCGAATTAAATTAGTTGTTATTCAAGTGATTTATTTATAAATATTCATTTGTTTCTTTATTTTGTGTACAGTCTAGCAGTAGATAGCGTATTGACAATGAATAATTAAACGAGTGCCCCTATGATCGTCTGGAATGAATAGATGTCTGATTGCCAGGGTCTCGTACAGGTTCACGTCGTGGGAGTCGAGGAAGTAGTGGCAATGCATCAGCTGTATCAGCACCTGGCACCAGGCCAAACAAGTCACCACCGAATAATACAACTGGTCTAGCTGATACTGTTCACGAGAATATTACTGTGGAAATAACTGAAGCTAAAGCGTAAATCAATCCATTTACAACGCACACACACCAAAAAAAAAATAAATAGAGGAATTCCAGGATTCGTGTGGATTCATTGGGATTTCGTTAGGGTCCACTCGAGGCGAGAGTAATTATCAGCATTCAGAAATCTTCTCTATGATAATCGATAAGCAATCAGTAAGATATAAAGAGAGGAGGAGACACTTTTCGATTAAATATCGAAATATCTCGGGATGGGGTACACTAAGAGAAAAATTTCATAAAAACTTTTTTGTCGGAAATTTTGTGATTTTCAAAAGAGATTATATGAATTTTTCTGGTAAATCACACCGTTCTCGAGATAATCGACATTAAACATTTTGCCATTTTCTTATTAAAGTTCTTCATGTCTAGCTGTCAGATAATAGTATTCACCTCTTCGATTGAATTCTCTCTTTCTTTGAATATGCGAGCATTAATTATTAATAACTTATTGATGAGATACCCAAAGTATTAGAATAAATGCAACAATTAAGCTTTCGAGATTCGCAACTTGACGTGTGAAACTGACGATTAAGAAAATAAAAACGAAGAAACATGTGACGAAAGGGACCACACGAGTTTCGAATCATTGAAAAAAAAATGCGAGGAATTTAATTCCTCCACTCGATCATAATCGAATTGCACAAGTTAGCTAGAATAATTAGTTCACAATGCCCTTCGCTAAAATAAGTCCTCTTACATCTAATAATCTATAAAAATACCTGAAAGCTATCAAAGTATCTAGATCGATTTAATCTAGAGGAATTTGTCCCGAGGACGATAAAAATAACCAAAGATACGATTAATCCTAGACAATTATGAGATTATTTATGAAACTCTGCAAATTAGTGCCTATGCTGTCGCATATATAATCATTAACAATTAATGAAAAACAAAAATTCGTATAAAACGAAATCTTGAAGGAAGAGCGCTACTTTGAGCTGGTGAATTTCAAAGAGAAATAAAAAAGTATTAATCTTAAAAGTTCAACTAAAAAATTCAAGCAAACTGCTAAATATAATAAAAGAGAATGAAAATAATGAAATAATAAAGAGAATAACAAAGCCTAGCGACTGTGCTGTTCTGTGATTGTAAAAGCTATCGTAAACAGTTGAAATTATCTTCAAATCACAATTATAATCTGATTAATGATTAATCTGATGAATCAAGAGGATAATGAGGATAATGAGATGTGACTGACACCGAGGGAAAATTAGGGGAAGATTTGCCCATCGGTTTCAGTCTCAATCACTGGGAATCGACCACACGTAGTTTAGGTACTAGTTGGTTGGTAATTTAGTTGACGCTAGAGTGAATTTATCAATAATTAAATATCTCGACTTTCTATCCCCTTGGCTTAGAGCAGAGTGTCAGTGACACTCCCTTTTTTACCTCTTTTTTACTCTTTCAAAGAATGAAAAAAGTGAAAAAATATATATAGAACCACTTAAAATCGTACACAAGATCTTCACTAATTGATAGAATTTTTCCACTGTTTGTGCACTTGATCGTGAAGATTTTTCGGTGATGAGAGAAATAAATCCACTGAGAGGAAGTGGTCCAGCATTGGGGAAGCGTTTGGACTGCTCTCTCTCGTGGGGATGAAAAACAAATCAAAAGTTTATTTAACTCCATTGACAGATAATTCATTTTCCTGATGATTATTTATCGAGGAGACCAAGAGTTTTTTCTGCTTTTATAGTTGTTGATACAATCTGTTATTGTAATGATAATTAATGATAAATTAATTGATGCTTCGTGGGGTTGTGATGTGGAGTGAGGGAGGTGCATCAGTAGCGGCCAGTACTGCTTTATTTATTGATAAATAATCCTTCAACCACTCCTGATATTTTTTAATGCGAAATATTTCACTTTGTGACCCGCATTTTCTCTCGTAGTAATTAATATTCAGTTGTAATTGGTAGTCTTTATTAAAAATAGACTTTCGATATGAATTATAATAGCTTAATTATCTCGTTAAGGTAATCTTTATTACATTCAACGTATCTGTAATATCCGCTATCTCGATTCATTTTAATAAAATTATCTTACACTGGAGGGATGAATTTAATTTATTTATTCACTATTTGTAAGAGGTTTTAGCTCGCCAGTCCAGGAATTCGTCGTAATCACTCTCATCACCACTGGACATGTCTTCATCCACCGATTCTTTCTTCCTTTCCGCTGCTTGAACTTGTTCTTTTCGTCGAACTAAATCCATTACTCTGGAGATAATACAAAATTGGGGATTAATTTTATAATTATTTATTTTTCAAGTAATAAATTTTTACCTCGACCAATTACGTATCTGCTCCTCGATCTCATCCAACTGCCTCTCAGTGGTGGCTTCCTCCTGATCCTCAGCAATTATTTGAGCAGATTGTGCTGCCTCTTCCCTCATTTCCTTCTGGAATTTGTCCCACTCTTCCTCGATGGGGTCTTTGTACTCCACATTTCTCACCTGTCCCACAAAAAAATAATGAATCACACCACCAAGAAGAATTTTTATTTAAAAATAAACTGAAGTTGTAGCTAGAATTTATACTTTAGCATCTAAAATTGGATCATCAAAAAATCCCTCTGGCAGAGCAGTAGAATTGGTGGATTCTGCGTCCTTGAGATCTTTATTCTCCTCCTTGGAGGATTTAATCACGAGTTCCTCAGTCTGTTTCGTCACAGTAGGCAAATTATTTCTACTGGTTCCATTGGGATTATCGAAAAAATCAGGAGGCAGTGCTGGTGATGTCTGAGGGTTCCTCAGGATCCCCTTGACCTTCTTCGGGGATTGTGATCCCCTGGGGGGAGAGCTGGGCCTCTTGAAAGCTTTCTCTACCTTCGAGGGAACTTCCTTCATTTCCAAAAGTTTTTTTGCAGAAATAACATTCTCCTTGTGGGATTTTGAGTTCAGGTGGACTGGCCAGACAGTCTCGCTGCGAATAATGGATTTGCAGATCACGCACATCAGCTGGCCATTATCTGTGTACGTGTGGAAGAGTTAAGGAACATGTCATCCAGGCGAAGTAAACAATAAACATTTTTTTAGTCGATGAATTTTGTAGGGATTTTGACAGGTGTCCTGACCCCCAAAGAACAATATAAAAAAAAGGATATTTTGCCAGTGGTGAATCGATCTTCTTCACAGCTCCAGACTTCTTCTTGTGGTCCATCATCGCCCTCCGGAGGTCGTGTTGACTTATTTTCTTTCCTCCAGACATTTTCAATCCACTTCTCCACAGTTATCACAAGTAAACACCAATTTTTTTTGTGTTTTGAAGGGAGTTGAGGTTAAAACACCTACCGATAGAACAGATTTCGTTCAATTCATCTTTTATCATCCTCCCATGCCGGCACCATGGCATCAATAACAACATTCAGGTTAATTCGTTGTAGAAAATTTGAATATTCTCACATAAAACGTCAAATTAGGATAACAAATGGTGGAGTCCATCAACCCCGGATGTCATCGTCTTTCCCAAAAGCATCGGAGGTCAATGTATTATTGTCCCATGGGTGAGTGATATATTTTCCTATCAATCGGGATAACCTCATAATTTATTAGAAAATAAATTCGATTTCTCCTGAATATTTTTGTCAAATTATGTAATTCCACCACTCATCACCTTGTGTGAGATATTTTATTTAAAAAATCCATTGCACAAAAATTTTTTTAATATAAATAAAAATGCATGAACTCGTGGATGACGTTCAGGTCGTCGAAGCGGTCATTGGGGATATCGACAGGTCAACTGGCGAAATTCGCTGACGGGTGTGGTGTCGTGACCTCCGGGGACACTTCAGTGATGGCGACATGCGTGAGTAAAACGCACAGTCCATCGACGAGTGGTTTCCTTCCTCTGGTGGTGGATTATCGGCAGAAAGCATCTGCAGCGGGTAGAATTCCAACGAATTTCCTCCGTCGAGAGCTCGGCCCAACCGAGCACGAAATCCTCACGAGTCGTTTGATAGATCGATCCCTTCGGCCTCTTTTCCCCGAGTCCTACAATTTCGATACCCAGGTGATGTGCAATATCCTGGCGATCGACGGTGTAAACGATCCCGATGTTCTCGCAATAAATGCAGCATCGGCATCACTCGCGCTGTCTGACATCCCGTGGTCAGGACCAGTGGGTGCAGTTCGTGTGGGTTACCTGGACAACGAGATCCTGGTGAACCCGACGCGTCACGAGATCCAGAAGAGTTCCCTGAACCTCATAATCGCGGCGGCGGGACAGAACCTCGTGGTGATGCTCGACGGATGTGCAAAGGCAATTCTAGAGCAGGATCTCAAGAAAGCAATAAAAGTTGGGGTGAAGGAGTGCCAGGGGATAATCTCTGGGATCTCAGAGCTAGCGAGGATACATGGGAAGGAGAAACGTGCCCTGGAGGAGGGGCCGAGAGTGAGCGAGGAGCTGAGCGCAGCTGTGAGGGCCCTCTCGGAGATCAAATTGAGGGACATCTTCACGGACTACTCCCACGACAAAATCTCCAGGGACAATGCTCTGAATAATCTCAGAACTAGTGTTCTCGAGACGATGAAGAGCAGTGTATCAGATCTAGATCTGCCGAGGGTTGTGGAGGCCTTCGGGATGATCTCGAAGGAGATCTTCAGGTCTCTGATATTCGAGAATGACTTGAGGTGCGATGGGCGGAGATTAACAGAGCTGAGACATATCTCCTGCCAGGTCGATCTTTTCAAGCCTCTCCATGGCTCCGCCCTTTTCCAGAGGGGCCAGACCCAGGTCCTCTGCACTGTAACCCTCGACTCTCTTCACAGCGCCCTGAAGATGGACACCATTTCAATGCTGGCGAGTGGAATAAAGGAAAAAAATTTCTTTTTGCATTATGAATTTCCTCCTTATGCTACCAAAGAGACCGGTAGGACTGGACCCATTGGCAGGAGAGAAATGGGACATGGGGCCCTGGCTGAAAGAGGTCTCAGGCCTGTTATCCCTGAAGACTATCCTTTTACTGTTCGTTTGACTAGTGAAGTCCTCGAGAGCAACGGCTCCTCGTCGATGGCCTCCGTATGTGGAGGCAGTCTCGCTCTTTTGGATGCTGGAGTTCCCATCTCGACAGCTGCTGCTGGAGTCGCTGTTGGATTGATCACCAGGTATGACCAGAACAAACAGATCGAGGACTACAGGATCCTCATTGATCTTCTGGTGAGTCAATTAATAATGATAAATTAACGAATGATTTCTCAAATAAATAATGATTATTTGGAAAAAGAAAATTTTAAATCCATTACATCGTAGGGAATCGAGGATTATCTCGGTGACATGGATTTTAAAATAGCTGGAACGAAAAAGGGAATAACAGCGCTCCAGGCAGATGTAAAAATTCCGGGTCTCCCTCTGAAAATAGTGATGGACAGCATTAGTCAAGCGACATCAGCTAAGGGTGAAATCCTGGGGAAAATGAACGCCGTAATATCCTCCCCTCGGATGGGTAAAAAAAATATGCCGATTAGCACGACAATAGAGGTGCCTGTGCACCAACGGGGCAGGTTCCTGGGGATTGGAGGATCAAACTTGAAGAAGATTCTCGTGGAGACTGGAGTCAGTGTGAGTATTTACCAGATCAATTCACCAGATCGCTGGAAAACCCCTCCAAGGGGAGTATATTAACCCCAGAAATTTCGTTTCAGATTCATCCACAGGAGGAAAATGCCTACAGCCTGTTCGCACCGAACGAGACAGCGATGGCAGAGGCCAAGGAGATGATCTCATCGATTCTAATCGAGGAAAAAGCACCTGAACTGGAGTTCGGTGGAATCTACACAGCAAAAGTCGTGGAGATTCGTGACGCCGGAGTGATGGTGATCCTTTACCCAAATATGCATCCAGCATTGCTCCATAATTCTCAGCTGGACCAGCGATCAGTGGTTCATCCCAGTGCCCTGAACATAGAAATTGGTCAAGAGTTCCAGGTGAAGTATTTCGGGAGAGATCCCGTCTCCGGGACAATGCGATTATCTCGAAAGGTCCTCCAAGCACCCACTGGCATCGCCAAAAATTACACATCGTGAGAGACTATTTTATATTGTAAATAATCTGTAAATAAATTATTTCTACCTCATAGCTCGAGCTTCAAGCGATAAACTCGCCTGTTTTTGTCATATTTCAATAGATTTATGCATCGTGTCCAGGGCCTCGAGACAGAATTGACTGAAATGCGTAGTTGATCAGTTATTTTCAATCGAATGAACCTGACAGTGACGAGACACGCAATACTCCTCTCGATTCAATAATAACTCGGTTGAATTTACGGAGGGATCAATTCCAAATTTAATACCCAGACTGATTGCAAATGGATATTATTATAATTCATTGGTTTGAGGGGCATTTCTAGTCGACACAAACTAATCCAATTCCATCATAATTCAGGGTTTCACTCGGTTTTTCACGCCAGTCGCTTGTAAGGTATTCTCAACACGCGAATTGTAATCATCCGCAGTGTTGGATTATGTCCAACAAAAATAGGAAATATCCGCTGCGCGAGCCTTTGATCACAACCGTTTACCATCGGTCACGTTTTGTAGAAATCACTGAATCAATAGCAATGATTTCTTTTTTCATGTTAAGACCGGAATTATCTCTGAATAAAACCAGAAATTACTGAACTCCTTCGTGACAGAGAAATTTCAAATATTTCTAAATTTCCAAAAAATATTTTCCTCTATCCGCTCGCGCCATGGGGTCAATGTACCTCGACCTTGGGTCATTGAAAAATGGAGAACGATGCGTTGACTGTAGATTATTCTATTGCGGCCACAAGACAACAGTTGGAAATCCGTAAAAAAAAACGATAAAAAATCGAGAAATAACTGACATTCCAGCGTGGAAAAAAAGGAATTCTCCCGAGCCTTAATATAACTTCTTCGAGTGGTGGGTCTCGTATGTTTTAATATCAACACGTATTTCTGAACGCGGGGGCGTCGGCAAAACCCTCCAATCCTAGATGAAAGCTCTGCTGATGTTTTTGAATAATCGGGTGGGAGAAGGTCTCGTTCTTGGAAGAATTTCGGAAGTTCGAGTCCTTCACGGTCAGTTGAGTCGAAAGCTCGGTGACGAGGTGCTACATCAATCCTCACAAAGAAATCATTGAAAGATCGTCCAAATGATCGCAAAAGGAGCGCACGAGACCCAAAATCTTCTCACGACTTATCTGATTCTTCTGGTACTGCTGATATGCCTCTGGGTACTCTATTCCGGCATTTATTAATTCATTCGAATGAATTTGAATTGAGTAATGAAGAGTTCTTCATGTCTGTGGTAAGTCCTGGATATTAATGACAAATTGATAATTATCCTGGAAGAAAATTGGGCTGAAATAATCATTTTCTACTCGTGCATCGAAATCCCTCGCGAATTGACAATTTCGCGTGTGTTTTTATGTGCATCCGGTGATTTATATTGATCGATGATTATTCCAGGGATAAAATGCAAGGCAACAATGACCTCCGGGTGGCACTGGAGTCTCGAGAACCTCCACGAGGATTAATCCAACGTCCAGACACTTTTGCATTCAGAATACCCAGGAATCGATTAATTAATTAATTGTTCTGTTATTCATATTTTTTCGTCGAGTGCGCTTGATATTATTTGTGTGTACATATCCTGTTTATTGTATCAGCGAAATTATTTCATCATGATCGCACAATTTCCAATGTTGCGAGTGGAAAATTGAGATTAAAAAAATTTTGTGATGACAGTCGCTAGTTTGTCATGAGTAAAATGGACTTTCTATTATCATCTCGTGATTTATGTCACCTCATCTGGAAATTATGGGAGAAATGGGGAAATTTTGATTTTAACATCTTTTCATCTTGAGTCGAGACTTTGGTCACTTTCTGAACATCAAATTATGGTGAAGAGATTTTTATTCGGATGATAGTGAAAGATTTTTCGACACGTTTGGATGAGAGAGAATTCGAAAATAGCCAGGATGGGCTCCAGTCGACGTCGGGTGAGCTATTGGCGCAAGATAGCGGATACGAATATTTCGGAGGTTTCGGATTATCCAGAAATAGAGGCCTCAAACCTCAGCAATAAACCACCTGGACAGTATCAGAGATCAGGGCGTGGTTAACGATTTTTTATCAATACATCATTTACCCACAACAGTCTAATACATTAAAATTTATTCTCGTGATTTCGTCATTGGAAGTCCCAGAAGTATTTGGAGAATCTAATGAATTGCGAAAACAAAAACAAAAAACAGGTCTTATTTTTATCGTTTATTGGTCATTTCAGTAATTCGATTTTTTTATTTTAAATCTTTTCAATGAATGGAAATTTTTTATGCGAGTCAATTTTTATTAATTTTTATAAATTTAAAATTGTCTTTTTTTTAATGGAAAAACATTGTGCCAAGTATTATACTCATGACGTTCATCAGTATTTAGTAATGAATTTAGTAGAATGGCCGTGAGATGAATAACTTAACGTTAAAACGTGTGTAAAACAGGTAAGTGAGGACCCCCTCCTCTGAGGGCCGCTCTCTCCTATATAAGACGGAGTCCTGATACCACTTGAATCTTCAGTTGGTCATTTCACCAAACAACGAGCACAAAATTCCCCTGTGATTCATAAATAGATACCTCAAATATTCTCTATCATGAAAGCTATCGTAATTCTGTGTTTCCTCATTGGCTCTGTGATAGCCCAGAATTCGGGAAAATACGATCACGTGGATGTTGATGGAATTCTCCGGAACAATAGAGTTCTCACTAATTACATCAAGTGCATGCTAGGGCAGGGCCCCTGCACGTCTGAGGGACGAGAGCTCAAAAGTAAGTTCATCATTTCGAATTATCCCAAAACTATAAATTATTTTCATGAATATCTCATTAATGAGGCATTTCAGAAAAAAATGGTATTCAAATTTTTTGGTGGAAATTTTATGATCTACAAGAAAGTCTAATACCATTTTTCTCTGGAATTAATAATTTAATCACGAAATTATGTAAATTAAAATTTGTAAAAATAATATAGTTGATGGGGATCACCCAATCGATTGAGTAAGAGGCGAAAGCTTTCTCGGTTGAGTAACCGTCGATGGATCCATTACGTATAATGGAAAGGAAAATAAAGAATATTGACTCAAGTCCGCTGTTGTATAAGTGAATTCGACTCTTCAAATAATTATTTTCCACGTTTACTGTTCAGAGGTACTTCCGGAGGCCCTGAGGACAGATTGCGCCAAGTGCGACGAGAGGCAAAAAGCAACAGCAGAGAAAGTTATCAATCACCTGAGGAACAACAGACTGGCCGACTGGAATCGTCTCGTCGCAAAATACGATCCAACGGGAGAGTACAAAAAACGTTTTGAATCTCTAGAAACTAGAAAGCAATAAATTAAAAATGTACAACCCCAACAAATGATATTGCTGAGACATCGATTTATTGATCACTTAGTTTTAAAATCTTATGCATGTAAGTCCTCAGTGATTGGGCAGTAATTATAAAATCCGTGGAAATCCAAAAAGATAAATTTGTACTTGAAATTATTCTACTCGTCTTTTCTTCACTAGAGATCCGAGCTGAAAGAAATACAATTTTTTCATTATTATTATTAAGAGTGAGATGGTACAAATATCATGCAAAAGGCTGTTACCGATTATATAGCAGAGTAAATGAAGAAATAAAATACAGAAACAACAACAAACATTCAGTTTTACTTGAGTAATCGATTAACGAATGATTCCTCCGACGTTTCAAGCCCAGAAAGAGTGAACAATTCCCAACTTACTAAATCAGAGATAGCAGGTAAGTTACTCGTCTGATCGCTGACAAGTACCTCAGGCTCCCTGATTTCCTTCGACTGACTGGACTTCTTCATATTCCTGTGTTGGGGGAAGGTTGGCATGAGCTTGGGATCACAGGGGAGTGGAGCCTCCTTGAAGTAACTGCTCTGAAGGCATTCCTCGGCAGTTGCTCGTTTTTTCGGGTCGTACATGAAGAGAAAATTGAGAAGTCGTAGTCCAGCAGCACTGAGCCAGGGGAATCTCTGCTTGAGGTTGTTATAGGGTTGCTGCTTGAGGGTGAAATTCTGGAGGGCTGGGAGGGCATTGAACTCCGGCCAAATAGCCTCTGAGGGTGTGCCCAGAAGGTCAACAATCAGTTCGAGCTGTTGGATTTCCGATCTACCTGGTAGCAGCGGCCTGTGACCCAGCAATTCTCCTGGAAGAATAAATTTTTTTTACCCAGAACATCATGAAGAACAATAGAATTCTCACCTAGAATGCATCCAGCAGCCCACATATCCACAGAAGTCGTCTGAGTCTTTGCCTGGAGGAGTAATTCAGGTGCTCTGTACCACAGAGTGACGACCCTGGGAGTCATGGGCTTGAGGGGCAGACCGAACCACCTCGCGAGACCAAAATCAGCGATTTTAACGCATCCCTTGTCTGTCATGAGCAGATTTGAGACCTTGAGATCCCTGTGGACGATAAAATTGCGGTGGAGATATCGCAGACCCTTGAGAACCTGCAGGACAATGCACTTGACCTGGCTCTCAGAGAATGGCGTCTGCATGTTGTCGAGGAGGCTGGCCAGATCCTGTTCGCAATACTCCATAGCCAGGAAAATACTCTCGAGACTTCTACCCACCACGACTTCTCTCAGCTGGACAATATTCTCATGACGACACGAGAGGAGAACACTTATCTCTCTCAAACCACTCACTGGCAGTCCATCCTTCTCGTGCTCCATTCGAACCTTCTTCAGGGCCACCACCTTGTCGGTTTTCGTGTCTCGGGCTCGATAAACTATTCCATAAGTTCCCTCCCCTATTCTGTTCAATTTTTCGAACTCTGAGACGAATCTGCATTTTCCCAGCTGTCGATAATTCATAAAACCAGGACGTGTGAATAATTAATAATTCCCTCTGATTACATTTTTCGTGATTATTTTCAATTAGCGTTCGTAATTTATCTTACAATGTCTTGCTCTGGAATTTCCATAGGTTTTCCAGTCAAGAGAGATGTCAAAATTCCCCTTCTGGTGATCGGAGCTGAGGGATCTGGACCCGTTTCAGATCCCCTCTTCTCCTCATTGCTGTCAGAATGTTTCCTCTCATCTAAAATAATTTGCCATCAACAATTACAAACATCAATAACGTAACCTATAAAATAAATCAATACTCCACTACTTCCTCACCCTTCGTCATGATCTCGAGGACAAGAAAAACCCGAGACTTCCCCTCGTTCCTGAGACAATTGCAATAACAATTGCAATTGTCAACACTCACAACAGTCACTCAATTATCCTAGCAACAATTAATCACTTCGACAGAACGCAGAGGAGCGAGTAGAGATGATTTTCAAATGTGTTGACACTTCCTGGGGTTTTCACGCGCCTCAAAGACCCCTAGGGATTTTCTGGTCTGATGTCTGCATTGATTTGAAAATAGGAATGAATAAATCATTGCAATAGTAAAATAATTTTATAATCATTAAATAAATTGTGTAACATAAAGTATAATTCGTGGGTACGAACATCATTTATTCAGACTGAATAGTAATTTACAATTGTACATATTCTTTCATTAACAGAAAACATCGGAATAACATCGAGACTGTTCCCTGACCAGAAAATAATTATGTGGAATACTTCTACGGTAATTTCTACCTTCAATCGCCCTCAAATCACTCACTCAATTAATGATTCTATCAACTAGTTAATACCACTAATAAAAAATAATGGCCGACCCCTATTCATTTGGGATTAAGGATTAACTATCATGGAATATAATCAGCTGAGCATAAATACGGAGGAAATGAAAACATATGACATTGCCAAATGATTTAGATATTATTTTACAACTAAAAAACTGCACAAACCTCTACACCTACTCCACATCCAGGAGCTCCTATCATCATAAATAAATATTTACCCTAGTCCGATTTTTCAATCAGAAAAAAAAGCTTTTCCCCAATAAATTGACAAAAGTCATAAAAAAATTCGGTGTACAAAAAGTGATATTTGAATTTTTTAACGGAGAATTTCACGAGCAGCAAAATCTTCCTGGAAAGGACTGCATTCCCAAAACCTCAAGTCTCAAACGACCTCCGAGGTCTTGACCTTGAGAGGCTGCTGATTGCCAGGATCGGATTGCTCCTTGAGGTACTGCTGGCTGCGCTCATAGAGTCGGTCCCTGAGACTCACGATATAACACAAAAGGCAGTGGATAATGACGAGAAAAGTGAGTCCCCCGAGACACACGAGAATGGTTTTTCCTGGTTTCGCCCAATCGAGGACTGCATAAATCCTCGGATTTCCCTGTTTATCCAGCCCTCCAGCTGAATAATAAATAATCGTGAACATGAGATAGCAAGAGACAACGACGAGACACCACCAGCAGTGCCTGAGCCTGAGAGGTACCCTGGTAACGACAATATCGACGATCATGAGAAAACTGTTGCAGACATGCAGCAGAATATTGAGGAGATCGACCTGGTGAATTTTGGGATTGTAAACGGTTGCCCAGTAGGTGCCAGTGACACCGAGGGCAAGACTCGAGGTGATTGTGTAGAGAAACCAGTAAATCCTCTCGACGCCTCCCAATTTCAAAGTCACAGCGTCGAACTCCTGGCTCTTCTGGAATCGCCACCTCCTAATGACGAGGAGAAGACCCAGAAGGGACTGGATGAAGCCCAGGGCGAGATCCCAGTTGGTCAGGTAAATTGGCCAGAGGTGGGACTTCCCCAGGGGCTTGACACTCCCCACCTCGAAGATGGAGCAAATTATTATCGTCATCCAGGTGAGGCTGATGAGCCAACGGTAGCCGAGGTACCATCCGGATACATGGGAACTCCATCTGGGCTCGGAGAAGGCCCGGGCGTGCGGATCTGGGACCTTCTGGTGCCAGATGTGCGATAATTTGCGACACCAGATATTGTTCACCATCGCTCGACGACCTGAAATTCACACAGGGATTTATTCATTGCATTCACGATTCATACATAAACAGATCAATAATCTTGTCCTATAACTTTTTACGTGTTTTATTGGGCGTTTTTGTTTTGTTGATTTAACCCATCACTTGAATAATTGCCCTCAGGTTCTCCCCGGTGGAAAAACCAAATTGTAATAATGAAATTCCAATGTCTCTTTCGAGATTCACCGGATATTTGATGAGATAGACGAAATCGTCACCGATCTTAGTCAACACTGGAAATTTTCCAGTTGCACTTGCATGACACCGCGTGATCATCAGAAAAAAGGGAACTTCAATTTTCACCTCATACTTTACCCAAATCAAAAATAAAATACAGTCTCATCGTCCGGATTTAATGGCGAAAAATCAGGACAAATCCTTGGAGTTTATTTTTTTTTTTTAGAGAGATCGGCAATTATTGGACTAGACTATTAACGGCGGATGTCGGTTATCATCTCGCTTCCGAGTCCCCACTCCGAGGGTCTGAATCCCCCGTTTCACTCGCTCAGGTAGACGAGAGGGAACTGCAAGGATAATCTAGAAATTCGAAAGGACCAGGATTCACCCGCTGAATATATGGCCACTTTACGCACGGCCGCGTCTGCGCAAAAGTACAATTTCACCTCTCGATACGGCGCATTGTTTTTTCATTTAAAATTCAATTATTGGAGTCTTTAAAATTCAATTATTGGAGTCTTTAAAATTCAATTATTGGAGTCTCTTGTTATTGAATTGTTGATTGCAATTATTATTCAGTTATTCACTTTTTTTCTGAAATCGCTAATTCCTGCGATCATTTTTTATTTCAATTGCTAATTCTAGGAGTAGAAAACAAATTGTAAAAACAAAATCTTACAGGCAAAATTCTGGAATGTCAACGTCAAGGCTCGTCGAAGAGGCACTGTGCCCCACCTTCTGGTTATCACCATATTTATGTCGATTAGAAAATTCCAAATCTAGTAAACAAAAAAATTCCGATAATTCCGATAAATCGTTAGTTGCCCGAACCACGTCATCGCCCCCGTCGGCGGGTAAAAATCATAATCGATCGTAAGATTATCGGAAGCCCGTCCGTTTCATCCACTATCGAATTAATGTGAAAACACTTGAGAAAAATGACTGAGAACAAAAAAAAAACGATATCTATTTCTGAATTTTATCACTCATCACGGGCTCGTAACCTGAAGTTTTTCAAATTTAGTGTCATTTTTTTTCATATCGAATGGAGAATCATCGCGTCAATAAATTCATAACGACTTTTTACTGTCCGTGAAGGCAATTGTATGACTTTTAATTTTTTTATTTTGAATTTTGGTGTCGCGATGGAACAGCTGATCGTCAGGCGCTGTCTGAATCGAGTAGTAATTTTATTTCTTCATGAATGAACACTCGTCATTGACTGGAATGACTCGAACTTTTTAATTTTCCGAGATAATTTCCTTCTCACCGCAGAGTGCAAGAGGTTAATTATCTCTTGTACAGAATTGGTGATTAATTGTGAGAATAAGAACACTGACAAATGGCGACGAACGCCTGGAGGTGGAACCGCGCCATTTTCAAAATAATATAAACTATAAAAACCGATATTACAACAATTTTTATATCATTATTCGATCTTCATTGATTTTATGAAATTCATTATCGATTCGTTACAGTAACGTATATTAAATACGTCAATTATTAATAATAATAATAAATTAACGATGCATTTATATTTTTCGTTGTAAATGCTCACAATTAATGTTCACGGTTAATAGAAAATAAAAAATTATTATCGAGTCCATATGAAAAGAAATCAGAAATGAATAACATGAAAATGTCGATTTTTCTCCAATTAGACGCACTAGAAAAATATTGTGTTTCCATTTCAACAGCATCATTATTTGATTAATGATAACGTCACAGAAAAGATGTTTACGAAATGAACGACACCCGATTTAATCCGGAATTGAATTTCTAGTTCACAGTCGTGGTCAATAGAAGCAGATCTTTGACCTTTTTACAAATCTCTCATTAAAAAATCTTCAGACGTTTTAATTGATTTGTATTTCCAACGACTTCACAAAGAAAATCGTTGAAAATTAGCACTCATCAAATTTCAATAGATAACGCGATAAATAAATGCACTAGATTAAATAAAAATATGAATATTTAAAATAATATTCATTTACGGATTTCGGTACCATTTGTACGCTGCTTTGTTTTCACCTGGGGGGGCTGAGGGGGATTTTGAGGGAGAATGGATAAATAATGGTGTAAGATGTAATTGCAATGCGAATGTGTGAATCGAGTGACTACTTAACCCCGGGGATGACCTTACAACCGCTGTTCTCACGACCGGATCAACTTCAAAGCCCTCACGGAGTATTTCTATCAGAGGTCGCGGTCACCGAGAATCAATTACTAATTTGCCGTTAATTCGTCAGAATGTCGTGACATTATTCCGACATTTGTCGCGTGAGCATGAAATGAGGAACATTACTTTACATACGAGTCGTTTGAAGGGTTCATCTGATAATTCCCCGACGATAATTTCAGGCAATTTCATCAATTTCATTCCCTGAAATATTTTTACCTGAACCTGATTTTTTTCTCCAGGTGAATTAATTACCCATAAAAATATTGTTCTGGATTTATTTTATTTGTTTGATTCAGGGATTGATAATTGAATTCCAGAATTGGAAAACCGAATTTCCCTCCCGGAAAAACATTGAGCAAATAATTAGCGTGACGAAGGTCATCCGTGAGTCGTGCAATTACCCCATTTCCTAGGTCTTATCACTAATTCCATGACCACTAATTTCTTTTCTATTTCTTTGATTATCTATATTTCACTCAAAATCCACGACTCTTCGAAGTTCTAATAAAATAAAAATTAAGAAAAAGTGAAAAAAACTCTGCAGTGAATTCGTAATCAGTGGATATCTCGTAAATAAACACAGATACGCGAATTTTCATAATAATCTCTTTTGTAGACTGATGCGCGACCTGGAAAAAAGGATTTCACAAAAATTTCGGTATCTGTCCTCATTTAGAAGATATTGATGGATAATTGGGGTGATGCTAGATGCCCTTTTCCTAATTTACCAATTCACAGCAGGAGCTCTGATTAATTGTGGAAAATAATGTCACATAAGCACTTTGTTTTTCACGCACCACGTAGAGACGTCCTGAGGGGCATTTTAGTCCTGTTGTTGCCAACGATGGACAATAATTCAGGACTGTAATCGCACGTGTCTACACTGTGAGGCGGCATTGGTGACTCGTTGGAGAATCACTGGGTGACTGTCCGCTGGCAATATCACCAGACGTGTAAAATTCAAGCTACGGCCCAATAAAAATCAATATGAATCCATATTACCCCCATTCAACAGCTCAACGTGGGCAGACTGATTTTATTCCGTAACAGGAGTGGTGGTCTGATTATTCCAACTGTCAACGCCATCCATTTGTCATGAGTTTGCGCACCATGTAAACTGCACTCCAACGTCAGCAGGTGGTGGATCCACTACTCCTGATCATCACGTGGCATTTTTTTATTTTTTTTTTAAATTATTCACTGAAAATTAGTGGCTGATAAGCCAAGAGTTCATGGAAATCGCGAGCCCTCACGGTGTTCCGGGGAATATCCTGGAACCTAGGGGTTCCAGCTCCTCACTGTAAGAAGCTTTTTTGTAGAGAATTTTCAGAGCTGCAAATTTGATTCTGTTGAAATTTTTGTGTCACCCGTGGATTTCGTGTTATTTTTAAAAAATGGAGGGATTTTTTTGGATTCGGTTTTGCCGGCTCGATTTTTTGGTGGTGGCTTTTTTGGAAATATCTCGGAATCTCGGGGAGATACCAGAATTTTTGTGGGGACTTTTTTGCAGGTCTTGAGGGCGTGGGAAAAAAAGTTTATTTCGAAATTTTGGGTATCTCTGCTGGTTTAGGAGATTTTCGGGAGTTGGTGGTACGAGGAGAGCAATGCAAGATGGAACAGGAAAAATTGTTAGACATTTCATTAATAATTGTTTAGTCCAGAGTTATTTATGGACGATAGATTATAGTTATTACTTCTTCGTGTTCCAATGACGTCACCGTAATTCCTATTTCTTTTTTCAACAGGGGATAACAAAAAAGGGGATAACAATAAGCTGACCGTTTCTTTGATAACTCAAGGATTATATTTCAATGTCTAGACCAACTCCAAGACACAACTGAATCTGCACAAAGCATTCCCTTTCACAATAAATTACAATAAAACACAACAATTGAATTGAATCGGATAAAAAAAAAACAATTCTACAAGACTTTTATGTCCACTAGACTTCAGCGTATTCCAAAATTTATTTAAATTTTCCATAGAAAAGCACTTCAAAGAAATAATGAGAACTCGATTATCTACAAATTATTCTCCGATATTTTTTGCAGAAAAATTGTGCGGCTGAAAAAATCCCGGGAATTTAATGAGATTAAATTTTCGAGCGGAAAATTCAAAACAATTTTTTTAACCGTTCAGTTGAACACGTGAGCCCAACAATTTTATAAATAAAACACCCCAACTGGTGCACATACGCTCCAGCGTTCTCACTCAGAACTAGTTCCGTGGACCAAAAATAATCAGATCAGGGGAAAAAGTCTGGGACTGAGTTCGACATCACCTCGACACTGTCAAAAAAAAAAAGAAAGCGATAATGGCATCACGGGAGAATTTCCTCAATTAATTCATCTTGAAACGCCGATTATTTATAATTGAGGGGAATTGTTTATTTTATTTGTTTCGGTAGAAATGTTGCTGGGTCGAGTGAGCACGTGTCTATTGTTAATTATAGCCGGTGTTTCCCTGGCTCATGATGCGCAAATGTAAGTTGTTACTTGACAATAAATTAAATGTATCAATTCCAAATTCACAGTCCCCATTTTCTATCCCTTCCTGAACTAGAATTAAATAAATAATCTCCTCATGAATTTTTCATGTATATTTTAATCTTCAGTGTAAATCGTTGGGCCCAGAATCTTGGGAGTGAATTATGGGAGTTGGCGTTGGGAATAGCAAAACCTGAAGAACTTCGAGCTGTGAGTTTATCTCTTCCTCTTCTCATTAACAATTTGATAAAAAAAAATTATTCACGTAATTCAGAAATACAGAGAAATGAATGCGCGAGTGGAGGAGAAATCTGGCGAGGAGTTGATCGAAATAATCAGCGAGAGTGTTGGAAGAATGCTGAGAAGAAAAATGGATGCTGTTCGATGTATTCTTCTCCGAGCGGAGGAAGAGGCCCTGTATTACAACGATTCCGAGACAAATGTTGATGTTATTAAATCGAGTTTGAGATACGTCTCCGGGAAGTGGAGTTGGCTCACCAACGAGGACAATGCCACACAGGCTAAGATCCCCAAGAATATGCAGAATGACAGTTACATCTACAGGTATATCCCATTCAATTCCATCAATTAACAATTAATTAATGAATACTAAATGAGTCCCACCCCAATCCCCTAATTAATTCACTCCGACTCGAAAGATTTCCACCCAGAATTTCTATGAATAATTCTTCATGATTCTCCAGAGAAATGTCTCTGAATCCTGACTCCCATTTCTCCAACATCCCCGTGAACACGAGCTACTCATCAGTCCACATACCGACGAGGGTGTACGATTTGAATCCAGCAGTGGCACACGCTATAAATTGGACGGAGAGTCTCGACGAAGTCTTCACCCAGAACTACAGATCAGATCCAGCCCTGTACTGGCAGTATTTTGGCTCGATGAATGGCATGCTCCGGGTATATCCATCGATGCAGTGGAGAACCAGCGAATCAGCTGACGACGAGCAATCAGCAGATCTTTATGACTGCAGAATCAGAAGTTGGTTTATAGAAGCAGCCACTTGCAGCAAGGACATGGTGATTCTGGTGGATTCAAGTGGTAGCATGGAGGGAATGGGTTACACCATCGGTGAGAATTTGTTCATGTTAAATATGAATTGATGATAAAATTCAATTTTTATTTCAGCCAAGGCAGTGGTTGCCTCGATCCTCGACACCCTCTCGAACAATGATTTCGTGACAATCTTCGAATACACCAATATCACCGTCGACCTGGTACCGTGCTTCAAGGACAAACTGGTCCAGGCAACCCCCGAGAACATTAATACCTTTAAAACTGCCTCTGGCACTCTGAAACCTGGAGAGCAGGCCAATCTCACGGAGGCCTTCACCAGGGCATTCACCATTCTCAAATCATATCGAGAGTCCCGTGGATGCGGTCCTGATACTCCCTGCAATCAGCTCATCATGCTCGTCACAGACGGTGTCGCCTCCAACATATCAGAGGTCAATAAATAAAAAGCGCGGAAAAAAAATGTGAACGAATCGAAATCATCTGTGGCATTTACCCGTTTATCTCAGAAGCTATTGACACCACGACAAAATCTCAAAAGATCTTTTTTGTCGGCAGTTTGATGATCTTCAAATAAATTTCTTAACATTTTCACCTGAAATTCATATTTTTCGAGATAAATCGGTGTCTAGAAAATGAATAAATTCAACTCAACTCATTTCTTGATTTCGTTTCTCCAATTGATTCAATCCATTCTCTAATGGGGGTTAATATCCCAATGATTAATTTTTTGTGTCAATGAAAAAGGTCTTCGACGATTGGAACAGACAGACAAATGGAACGAGAGTGCCAGTGCGTGTTTTCACGTATCTCCTGGGTAAAGAGGTGACAATGGTACGTGAGATTCAGCTGATGGCGTGTGAGAACAGAGGATATTACACCCACGTTCATAATCAAGAAGAGGCCCAGGAGCAGGTGCTCAAGTATATCCCAGTGGTAGCTAGACCCCTGGTGCTCCAGGGCAAGTACCACCCCATCATCTGGACACACGCCTACGCAGACGTTTCCGTAAGTCCAAAATCCATCACTTCCTTGATCCTCACATAATTATAAATTGAATTCCAACGACAAAAAAAAAATCTCGAGTACAAAAACTCTCTACAAAAATTGAGTTCCGCATTGAAATCAAAATTATGAACGTCGTACGACGGAAAATACTGGAATCAGGCCATTAAGTATCAAATAACCCAAACGACAGCAAAAAAAAAATTATGAGAATGACGACGATATCACGATGCGCTATTTAATTATCAGATCGTTAAAATGAGTAATTGAGGGGAGAAAAAAAAGTAAATAATATTTTTATTGGTGGAATATGAGCGACTATTGAAGCTGTGAAATCCCGCCAGAATCCAGCCCTTGCCACGTGGCTGTGGCTGGTAATGGATCATCCGGAGCAAAAAGCGCGTCTCGAGAAGAACCTCGAAGCAATGCAACAGGGCGTCTCAATAAACGACGACAGCATCTACATAAAAAAGGTTTAAGAGAGTGCGAGACATCGCCGAAAATTGTGGCCGTTAATTAATTTTTTTTTTATAGAATTTATTCTGTAGGAAAGCTTGATGGATTTGACGCCCTTAGATACCCTAGATGTGTAGTCTCCTGGTGCCATGTTTTTTTTTTCATTATTGGATGACAGAAAGAAAATGTGATGATTTCAGATTTTTTTTTTCCTCATATATTTGTGTTTTGACGAGTGTCTCCCACGTGTAGATGATAAATCCTACGACAGACATGTTCTAAAAGAACTCCTAAAAAATTCTATTTTTTTTCCCTTTTCCTTTTTCCAAAATTGTTGATTTATTCAGGAATTTTATTAATTGAATCAGAAAAATCCGGGAGGAATTGGTGGAATTAAAAACGAATTCTGTAGAACATGTCTGTAGGTTGTCATTAGCTGTCACCTGATTCTCTGATTGCCATCATCAGATGAAAAAGGGTGAAGACGTGAGAAGAACAGCAGCTGAGGTGGAGTCAACTACTCGTCAGGAATACAGACTTCTCACATCGGTAAGTATTCCGGCATTCGATCTCAAGAGCAACGCGAATAACGATACAAGAAGAGCGAATCTCCTGGGAGTTGCTGGTACCGATGTACCCATAGACGACATCCAGAAGCTCACGCTTCCTTACAAACTAGGAGTCAACGGTTACGCCTTCATTGTTTCGAATAATGGATACGTTATATTGCATCCGGATCTTCGACCCGTCAGCGGAGAAATTTTAAAAGAGAATTATAATAGTGTGGATCTCACTGAAGTGGAGATTCTCAATGATGGGAGGAGACCCAGGTGAGAGAATATTCCATATAAACCGTTATGTATTATTATGTAATATAAATTATGCAAGAGTTGAAAAAAAAATGCAGAGATCCTGGAGAGCAGATGCTAGAGCTCCGGGCATCTCTCGTAAATCACACCCGGGGCAGTATGAAAGATGTACCTGTTAAACTCCATTACGACAACAGCCGGAGGGTGACCTTGGAGCACAGGAATTATTACTTTGCACCACTTCCAGGAACCCCCTTCGGAATAGCAGTGGCAATTCCGAATTACGGGAAGACCTGGATAAAAGTGGGAAATGAAATCGAGAAGAATCGTCAAGCTGGTATCGCAGTCAGTGATTTTTTTATCGGTGACAAGTGGCGGGTGCATCCCGGATGGGTTTACTGTCGTTTTCACTACCTAGAGGGTCACGAGTTCAACAACACCGTCGACGAGGTTCGGTATTTTCTGCATAAACTCAGTGAACCCGGTTGGGAGTGGACAGATCAGTACGAGGCGTACGAGATCGACTTCGAGGAAGAGGAAGTGCCGGATTGCACGAAGAAAGTTCTCGAGGATAACGATTACTACTGCAATGAGGAATTGATGCAGCTCCTGGTGTTCGATGCAAGAGCGACCAATCAGAGCTTCAACGAGGAGTTCAAGCACAGAAATCCGAGATTGAAGGAATTGGCGAATAATTATGGAGTTTTTTTGAGATTCGTCGCGACCCAGAGTGGTCTCACCAGGTGGCAGTATCTGAATAAAGAGTTCAAACCAGCTGGACTCAATCCGCGATTCGGTGACCTTCACAGGAGGGCTGTCAACGAGCCCTGGTACAAGGGCGCAATTTTTCAACATCAGATTGACCCGGAGAGCATCTCCCTGTCAAGTAAGTTAATTATTCAACGATCAGACGTCCACAAATGAATTTTCTCGTAATGCAATATCTCGTTTTTTTCTCTCAAGTCCCAGGAAAAGGTGGTGAGGACGCTGTGGTGACTGTTTCCATGGCGGTTTATCCACGCGATGGTGGACGCACAGCGTCAGCTGCTGTGATCGGTTTCCAGATGCCGATGACGTACCTCTTCGAGAGATTTCTCGAGATAACTTCTGAGACGACAAACGCTGACTTCAACTGCCAGACGGAGGGCCTCGACTGTTACCTGGTGGACCAGAATGGATACATCGTGATATCAGAGGCGCACAATGATACCGGGCAGTTCTTCGGGGTAATCGAGGGTCCGGTCCTCCAGTCGATGGCCAGTCAAGGCTATTTCGAGACAGTGGAGATTTATGATTACCAGGCGGTGTGTTATTATATTGGTCTCGAGGGCACGGGGTCAACACTTCTCACACCCTTCAGGCACATCTGGAATATCATCCTCTGGGCGTTCGCCCGGACTGTCTGGATGGCCTCGCAGTTCATTGATGTACCCCAGGTGCTCTCCAGAATACACTCCGAGGATGATCTGCCTGAGAAGCCTCCACCCCCCGAGGAAGTCAAGCAGTACCACAAGTGCGATCAGAAGAGAATTCTTTACATGATGAATCAGACGAGATCTGAAATTCCCATCAAGGACATCCCTGACGTATGCTCGAGGCCGTTCTATGCGCAGAGGGTAAGTCCTCATATATTTGAAGATTATAATAACTTTAATTATCGAAATATCGATTTCCCCAGGTCCCCCAGACAAATCTTCTCCTCGTGGTGGTAAACTCGTTGTACCCCTCCTGCTGGGGTAGACTGGAGACAGAACCCATTGAAATCAGCCCCAGGGAGTACGTGGAGGACGAGGAAGACGCTGCGTGTTACAAAAAAAAAATCAACGATCTACCCAGGAGACGCCTGGAGAAGTGCTTCACCGAACATCCTCTCGAGGACGAGATCGACGCGTGCGGACGAGGGACAAGACTGGAATTACCACTATTTCTTTTATTTATGTATTTAATTGTCCTGTTGTAAATAATTTGAATAAAGAGATTTGAATTTTGAAAATTCGAGAGGATTTCCATTATTTCAAAAAATTTCACAACTCCCTGCATCAGCTGACACTGACACCTCATAAATAATCCACTATAGGATAGCAGATGGTGCGCGCACGCTCGAGAATTTGACCCAGAGGGTGATCGATACCCGCAGGAAAGGGAACAACTAGGTGGACTACAGTTGCCATCAGCCTCGTTCGTCAGTCCAGCGGAATTATTCACAATTTAATATATGATCGAATCTCCGTGTGATTTTTACGAGTGAAATTTTCAGTTGATTTTATCATTTTTCATAGAGGGATGAGGGAATGTTTACTGCCAATTCTACTTGCTGTTATCATTGCATCAACACCTGGAGAAGGCGACGTTGTATCATTCACCACGTAAGTTGCACCCTTACACTATTCCAATTTATCTGCGCAGGATTTGGGATTGTCACGTGAATAATTAAACGTCGGGATGTAGAGGATTTTCGGGGGGTGGGACGGGAGAGATTGTTATGAGAATTCACTGAATTCATCGATGGGGGATATAATTCTGGTGTCACTCGAGTGTAGGGGATTAGATGTCACGTGAACTAGAGGTTGACGTGTTGTCGGGGGAAAAGTGTTTGTACAAAATTTCCAAGAAAGAATTCAACAACTCCGGTGGAATTATAACAGGTCCTTGAGTAATTGGAAAATCGTGGATTATTAATTATAAAATTATAAATAGTAAAGTCTCTCGGTTTTGTTATCCAGAGTAAAAACATGGGCGCACAAACTCGGCTTCGAGCTGTCACAGCTTGGAAAATACGTGATAAACGTGCAAAAGTTCGAGGACAGCTACAAAACAGCCCAGGTAATACCCCGAGATGGTAACGCCCTGGTCCATGAGATCGCCAAGGATATCAAGGCTATGATGGAGTCGAAGATGTCGGCAATCAGGAGAATAATGGATATTGCCGAGACAGTGGCCCTCGATGACGAGCAATTGGACGTTAATTATACGTACACTAACGCGAAAAACGTCTCCCAGGAGCTCCAGTACAGTGTGCACTTTGGTGGTGATGTCAACACGTCGATGTCATCGGTGCACGTGCCAACGAATGTCTACGACCGTGCACCAGCTGTGATAAAAGCTATAAAGTGGTCAGCCCGCCTGGACGACACCTTCATCAACAATTACAAACACGATCCAACGCTGTCATGGCAGTATTTTGGCAGTGCAACGGGTTTTATGCGTCAATTTCCAGCGACAATCTGGAATCCCAAACCAGTGGATTTGTTTGACTGCAGGACCAGGGGATGGTACATCGAGGCAGCCAACAGTCCCAAGGACGTGTTAATCCTGGTGGACACATCTGGGAGTATGACGGGTGTACGCAAGGAAATAGCAAGGCACGTTGTCAATAATATCCTGGACACCCTCGGTAATAATGACTTCGTCAACATCATCACGTTCTCGAATGAGACCCGTGAGGTCGTTCCTTGTTTCAATGACACCCTAGTGCAGGCGAATCTCGGGAATATCAGGGAGCTCAAGGAAGCTATCGCTGAACTCTCGACGGAGCGGATTGCGGATTTCGAAATGGTTCTCGTTTACGCTTTTCAGCTTCTCGCGAGGTTCAGGAATGAGACACGGGGTGCAATGTGCAATCAAGCTATCATGCTTATCACTGATGGGGTGCCTTACAATTACAAGGACATCTTCAGGGAGTATAACTGGGGTGGTAGCTCAGATGAACCTGATAAATACGATATGCCTGTCAGGGTGTTCACTTATCTCATTGGCAGGGAAGTCACTGATGTCAGGGAGGTCCAGTGGATGGCCTGCGCCAATCGGGGATATTATGTGCATTTGTCGACATTTGCGGAGGTCAGGGAACAGGTGAGTTCCAGTGAAATTGTCCATTTAAAAAAGAATAGTGATAATGATTTTGGGGTCCAGGTGTTGAATTATGTGCCGGTGATGGCGCGTCCTCTTGTTCTGGGGAAACACGATCATCCCACCATCTGGACACCAGTCTATGCCGACATCACAGATCCAAAAATGGCTGATTGGCTGTGGGAGCAGAAGGAGTGCGAGGACCAGAAGGAGAGGGTCCTCGAATTCCGGAGGAACAGGCGATTGTACATGTCCAATTATCAGAGGGACAGAAAATTAATGCACAAACCTAAAAGACATCACGGTCTCCACGACGAGATGCAGGAGTATCAGCTGATGACATCAGTCAGTATGCCGGTGTATGATAGAAGGGAGAATGCGGTAAGTAATGAATTATCAATTCAGTATTGAAGTGGAAACACGAAAAAAAAAAATTATAACCCATTTATTGCCCTCGTAAAATCATTTGTTATATTTCCACTCTCCGATTCGTATTCGTATATTTTTTTACTTTCAGCTAATTTATTTATTGATCTAGAAATTAAATTTTTGGGGCGGGAAAATATTTTTGGGATAGATAATTGAATCGAAAGGGAATACTTCGTTTTTCCACTTTGATTACGGGTGAATTAATAAAAAAAAATGATTGGAGAATTAGGAAAAAAAAAATAATCTAGGAAATCAATGATGCCAGATAGAGGATGAGACTGAAGAATGTGTATGTTTCTCTTGTAAGTCGACGTTTGTCCACAGAACATAACTGAGCAAGTGCTGATCAAGGAGGCGTACTGGGTGTCCCAGACACGAGAGGTTCGGTGTTAATAAACAAAGCAAATGAGATTATTAACGCAGATATGATTTTTACAGTGCATAGAGCTCCCTTGACACCCATTCTCAATTCTTGAATTCATAGATTCAATTTTTTTCGTTCTATTTGTTATTGTTATTGTTTTTTTTGTTTAGGTCTACGTCTGTCTGCTAATTAATTTTTCTTTTAATTAGTTTTTGAACGTTATGCGGAAATAAAATGATCAATTCAAGAATATTTTACCAGTTTTACAACAGGTAATTTTGATTTCGATGGAAAAAATTGAATTCTTGTCTTGATAATTCATTATTTCCCCAATAGCTGGGATTTTTTATTCTTAATGAGCATAATTCCCTCGAGACAACGTGTAGCAATGAACTTAAGGTCCTGCCCGCTGGATTGTCAAGAGAGAATAAAGGGAATGGTATCAGATATGAAATATTTTCTTTGATTAGATGATTTTATTAACATCTAAGGGTACTTATGTATAATCGTAATACAATCCCACTACACGAGAATTGAAATTATGCATTAGTTTATCTTTAGAAGGGGATCCTCACATTTTTTTTCTTCATTTTCTTTCGTAACAAAACGACTGAAAAAAATCTGAAAAATAATTCAATCTTCATTCTATAACGAGAAAGATAATTATTTTTTTTTCTACTTTTTTTCATTGCATCGATGTATGAATAATATGTATGAATAATTTACGCTTTGCTAAATTGTGCTTTGCAGTTGTGCTAAGCAATGAATAATATTGTGTTAAATGGCTCGCCCAGAATCAGCTACTGAATTTTTCAGGTTTTTATCCGCTTTAAAGTGACGATATAACAGTTAAAATATCTAATATAAATTTATAGAATTCTCATTTCCTCTGCTAATGCGGAGAGAAAATGGACATGAATATTTTACTGTTATAGAGATAATTATTGCTATGTTGTTTTAATTTTTGTTATCATTAAAAAATACTCTGCAATGAAGTACTAAAGAACAATAAAAAGGATCTCCTTGATTGATTATTCCGTCGTTGCAATGCGAATAGCTGAAACGACTAGGAAATAGCGTCTGCCAGAAGTGAAAAGTTGATAATTTTAAAGTAGTTGAATTATTAGTTTTAAAATTTGTACAAAGTATAAATTATTCATAATACTCTATGGTATTCTTTAAATCTTTATTTTCATATGCTAGCTGAATCTTTATTTAGATAATTTCTTCGTAATTTATAGTTAATTCAGATAAATCGAGGTAGCTGTGCTTAATAGTTCTATTTTCCGGAATTTTCAATGTCGAATTTTGGTATTCATCATTTGGGGATGTTTCAGACGAGAATTGCTGATTTATTGGGAGTCGCTGGAACCGATGTACCCATTCAGGAGATACAGAAATTAATGTTACCCTATAAGGTATGACTCCTTGCTAATTTATTTTTCAAACAATTGATTATTCCATTTTTTATTGCAGTTGGGCGTGAATGGTTATGCCTTTATTGTCACCAATAACGGCTACATTCTAATTCATCCTGACCTCAGACCAGTTGTGAGTATCAAAAAATAAAATTCCCACTTCTTTCCCAAAGGAGAAATCCAAAGAATTAAATTGAATTGTAATTGAAATATTTTTTTTCAAATCGGAATAGAATTTGAATGTTGATTGATGGATTTTTCAGTTCCAGGGAATATTAAAACCCTCGTATAATGCCGTCGACATGGCAGAAGTCGAGCTCTTGGAACTCGGAGGACCACGTGACTTTGACGCTATGATTCTCGGGGTAATTTATTTCATTTCACAGAAATTATCGAGAAAAACAAGCCGGTCTAATGAACTTCTCTATTACGATCAATTATCCCTGCTTCCAGTTTCGAGAGCGAGTTATCAATCAAGAGAACGGTACCGTGAACCTCAACACGAAATATCATTACGATGATATGGTGAGTCAGTGTTTAATTTTACCTAGACTAGACATAAAATGACAATTACTGAAATATTGCACTGGAATTTTCCTCCAGAGGCAATTGAAAATGACAATAAGTAAATGATTATGAATTTTATCATTGTATGAGGACCGAATGGTTGAATAATTTTTCAGAGAAGAGTTGGTCGGGCCAAGAGAAAATACGATTTCACTGGAATCGATAAAACGCCCTTTACAGTGGTGGTGAGTTTGCCATTGTATGATAACGATAATTATCGTGTTCACGCCACCGAGGAGCTGCACAGAGCCCACGTCAATGGTACATTAATCAATAAGATAGTCAGTAATTTTTTTTTAATCACACCCCTCTCGAATAATTATGGAATTCATCTGGGACAGGTAAAAATGCGACAGACTACTTTGCGGACAGTAACTGGCTGGTGCATCCTGATTGGACATATTGCAAGTGAGTTGATGACTCAATTAATCCCTCGATTAATTAAATTCCCCGAAGAATCTCTCCCTAATTGTGAGACAAGATAGGATTTTAGCTTTCGATTCGTTTGATTCGTGGATTTTTATGTTCAACAGATATCATTATAAGGACGAGCACAGGTTTGAGACGCCCGAAAAATTGTTTTTACATTTTCTGGAGCGTACACGTCTGCCAGGATGGTTCTGGAGTGATAAAAAATTACCCTCCCAACCACCTGAGTTGTCTGTCACGAATTCCGGAGGTAGTGGATCACATTGTGAGTCTCCAACTTCATTGTCTCTCAATTTATATCTGATTCTAGTCTTACCTGGTTATCCGCCTTTCAGCGAGCTCATCATCAGGAAAAGACTCGTTCTACTGTGACCGCTATCTATTCCAAAGTCTGGTCCACGATGCAAAGGTAACCGGGTGGTTTGCAAACATCAACACCACACGCGAGGAGAAAGGGTGAGAAAAACGAAACACCACAGAACACAGCATCACTCGCGTTTGTGTCTCAATAAATAAAAGAAAAAACGTTGACAATGAATGAATGGATTTGGCTGCTCTGTTTATAATCGTTTCACACAAGCCGTGCAGAGTTAGAAAATTAGTCGTCACCTTAGAATTCAAAACTAAATAAAACTTAGGCCGCGAGAATGTGTAATGAATAACTGCACTGCATTGAATCACTCACTGTGTGGGCAGTTTTTTTTTTATTAGTGATTACACCTGTTTCCTTCTTACTAATGTTTAACCACTTTGACGCCATGCAGACCTTTAGCTAGGCTGATGAATCGCCTGCCCAGGTAACGCCTTCACATCGCACCTTAATTTTTTATTCACTGAAAAATCTCACGATTACCCGCCATTTCCACTGGTTTTGATTATTCATTTTTCCTACCTCATCTCCTTATCTCCTACTCATTTCACTTGTCATTTATTCCTCACTCATTCTTCAAACAAATTTTCATTTTACGATGCACATTATTGCACCAAGCTTCTCGATGTCTTCAGCACCGAATATCGGTGGCGGCAATTTTGTTTGCAGATGACTCTGCAATCGCCCTTCATCCCTGAAGAGTGATGAGGGATAACTGTGGCTGCATATTCGATAAACGAGCCGATAAAACTCATTCCCAGACCTCTGAATCTATTTCTGAATTATTCCTTTACTTACGGAATTGATTGGAAATAATTATTTCACAGGAAAGAGTTTCAACATCGGTTTGAGTTGGTTCTCGCTTTTATGGCGACACACAGTGGTCTCACGAGATGGCAGGACCTCGCCCAGGAGGAGACAATGGACCCCCTGTTACCTGATGAGCACTTCGGCAGGATTTATCCCAGAGCGATCGACGAAATTTGGTATAAACGAGCTGTGGAGCAACATTATGTTCAGCCAGACAGCTTTGTCTTCTCAATTCCACCTGATGAGATTGCAGATAATTTGACACTGGTGACAGCCAGTCGGGCGATATTCACCGGTATGAGAATTTGGGAGAGGTCAGGGTGGAGATGATGATCATGGTCGAATGTTTCAGGAGGCAACGGAAAGGGAAAGGCACCTGCTGCAGTTGTCGGCTTTCAATTCAAGCACACAGCCCTTCAATCCATCTTCCAGAATATAACGTTCAACTGCGAAGGGGCATCCAACTGCAGCCATCACTGCAACGACTCCTCACTCGAGTGCTATCTTGTCGACAATAATGCCTTTATTCTCGCTTCGTCGGATGAGTCTGACGCTGGACGATTTTTCGGTGAGGTCAGGGGTCCTGTACTCATGAGCATGGTGAGCGAGGGCATCTACGAGAAAATCACAATCTTCGATTATCAGGGGGTGTGCTTCATGTCTCGTCAGACCGCAAATGATGGAAGCATTCTTCTCACTCCTTGGATTACCCTGAAGAGAACTCTCTCCTGGTTATTTGCCCAGGTGAGGGTCCACTGGATCGTAGCCAATTGTCCGTTTTACCCCAATGCCCCTTTGAAAACAATTTTTTTTTCTTTTTTTTTTATATTAATACGGTATTGTCGTTCGACGTTGCAATTGGTAATTTCAGGTCGTTTACACATGGGCGAAATTCGGTCTCTGGGAAACGGATTACGCCTTCGCTCAGGAGTACGACCACGATGAGCACCTGGAGAATGGTGACACGTTGCCACCGGAGGGCAGTAAGCCCCCGGCTTTTGATCCTCGGGTGGTCATCAACCGAACAAAACCGACTCCCTGCGACCAAGAAGTCGATCTCTACCTTCTTCGAAATACCTCGTCCCAGGTGTACGACGTGTCCTTCAACTCCAGCAAGGGCTGTGACAGGCCCTACGTCGTCCAGCCCGTTGATTTCAGTAACATGTTACTCGTCGTCGTTTACGTGGATTGTCCTGGCACTGCTGACTTCAAGATCACTGTTATTCCTGAAGAGATAAATTATCCAAATGCCTCCCTGGCCTGTCAGAAGGCTAGTGACAGCCTCAAGAGGAGGCGCCCCAGCTCCTGCATCAGGAGTCATCCCAGAGAGAGTGAAATTAAGGACAGATGTGGCAGGGCCACCAGTGTCCAACTTAATTCAATCCTTTTTCTACTAATTGCTCTGTCCACTCTCATGGCAATTCGTTATTAATTTCTCCATTGGAGTTGGTAGGCGGTAATTGCATCAACGACTGATAATACATTACGATATGTTCAGAGCTGATGTCAAAATTATTGATGATTGTTTTGGGAATGGTGCAATTTTCCTGCACAGTGCATGTGTACTAGTATTAAGAACGAAAATTCACGGCGAAAAAAAAATTCATGAAAAACCCCACGATTTCTTCATGATCAAAAAAATGAAAATTAAATAAAATCAATAGAAAGTCTAATGGAATTGTTTACCGAATTCGCTGGATTTTTCTATGAATTTTTCGTACGTGTTAATTAATCGTGCCGATAATTTTGAAATTTGTCATTAATGTTCAATTTTGAAGTTTGAAAATGAAATTCGAGGCAGCCCTGAATACATCAGAAACCTGAAATAATCGAATATATGAAAATAATGGACCACTTGTGCATGAGAGATTTAATTACCGGAGTAATGTACAGGATTTAAAATCTGATATCGATAGATGAATTCCCCATAATCTTCAACCATTTGTACATTCATTATCTGTACGTTATTTAATTTAGCGACCAGCTAGATTCAAATCTTAGATAGAATTTTATAGAAATTGAGAGACTAAAATTAAAATTACGTTCTCACGTTCACAATTCCGCTTTGTAAATTCATCTGTTCAACATCCACTATATCGAGTAAAATTAATTAACATTAATTTTGTAAATTGATGTAATATAATAATGGGATGATGAAGTGTAAAGATTGTGTGCCTTTCGTTGAATTGTACGGCACGCGGTTATAAACTTAAATCTTGTTGTATGTTTTTCAAATAAATTATGGAATCCTACTGTTCCAAACTGGTTCGATTGATTTTCCCAATGGATTAAAGTTCATGTCAACGTTTCAAACAATATTTGTTCACTGTGGAAACCACGTGGTCTCTTCTCACACAACCGCATTGTCCCCACCTTGACTACTCGAAACCCTATAATCGACGAATGACTAACACCCAGCCATTGCTCTTTGTTTGCTCTGAGAACAACCTGTAACTCGGGTTTGTTCCAATTTCTTCAATTGTATTCCCAATCTCTTCGCCTGAGACTCCTCACGACTAAAATCCAGACGCCAGGATGAATACTCTGGTGACTATCTTCTTACTCCTGGTGCCTTGTCTCAGTATTAATCTCGAAGAGCTAATGCTACAAGAATGGAAAACCTTCAAGGTAGAAAAGATTTCTTATCTATTGTATAAGTTTTTACGTCTTCTTGGTGTTGATAATATATTCAAATGAGCCAGTACGTGCTTTCACAGTCGTTGAACATCGTGCATTAATTTTTTTGCTTGATTCTCTTCTCAGGTATTAATTATCTTGTGTTTTTTATGGATTGTATTTACAATTATTATAGCTTCAGCACTCAAAGAACTACACAACCAAAACCGAGGAGAAGTACCACATGAAAGTCTGGATAGATAATAGACTTTTCATTGCTCAACACAATTCGAAGTATGCGAGGGGAAAAGCTTCTTTCACGGTTGCCCTCAACGGATTCGCTGATAGGGTTTGTATATTATTTGGTGTGAATATTGCTCTCCATACCGCAGAATTTTCAGTACGACTTATTATGATTATGGTGACAATGAATTCTCATACCTGCGATAGCGCAATTTGACTGGAATTATTTTGTAGCAATTTTCTATTGGATTCCAGAATAGAGCGGATGTCCACAAAATGAGAACTGGCTTCAAGAAATTTCCAGAAAAGAATTTAACTGGTTTTGAACGCGGGGCATCGTTCATTATACCAGCAAATGTGATTTTTCCTGATTTTGTGGATTGGGTGCCTGAAGGTGCAGTGACCCCTGTGAAAGATCAGGGTGAATGCGGGTCCTGTTGGGCGTTTTCCGCGGTGAGGAAATTGAAATGAATTGATAAGCCCAAAATTTGTTAGGAAATTTCATTGAATTATTATTGGAATTCATTGGAGTGTCGATGGAAGACAAAGATGAATAGTCAATTAATTACAGACTGGCAGTCTCGAAGGTCAGCATTATCGGAAGTCAGGTAAATTGGTCTCCCTCAGCGAGCAGAACCTCGTGGATTGCGCCAACTGGTGGTACCTGAATTTTGGGTGTAACGGGGGTGAAGTAATTCATGCTTTTCGATATGTCAAAAAATATGGAATCGATACTGAGTCGAGTTATCCATATGAAGCGAAAACTCACAAGTGTGACTTCAAGAAAGACAAAATCGGCACCACTGAAGCTTCTTGGGTAAATATCCACAAAGGCAATGAAGAGGACCTGAAAGCAGCTGTAGCTACCATGGGACCAGTCTCTGTGGCTATCGATGCCTCATTACGTTCATTCCAATATTACAGTGACGGTAAAAAATAATTTTCTATCAGAAAACGATGAAATTCAAATGCCATGTCTGTCTCATTTTTTATCGCGACTATTTTTTATTTTAATCAGGAGTTTATGAAGATCCTGAATGCTCACACCGGCTGAACCATGCGGTGCTGATAGTGGGATATGGAAATGAGGGTGGGAAGGACTATTGGCTCGTCAAAAATAGCTGGGGCACATCCTGGGG